CTGTCTGCAGACAAGAAAGTGGTCTCAAATCTTGTGCTCTGTCTGGAAGCTGTGTTCTAGGGCAGGAGTCCAAATAACATGTCAGTTCTAACAAACAACATTTGCACGTCGCCTTTGTCTCTCAGGGAAAGGTCTCAGTGCAGCGTAACAGAGGGACTGGTCAGGTGGGGTCAGCAGATCTGTGTCAAGACAGTTTGAGGAGATGAAGAGCCAAAAGTGTCCCTCCTCTGTGTCCTGTAGTATCACAGCAGTGTCCAGAGGGAGCCAGTTGAACACAACAGGAAAGGCCTTGCTCTCACTCTGCTCTGGTGTTTCAGGCAGTGATGAAATGGTCCATTCCCCCAAAATCTTTCCTCTGAAAATCCACATTTGCTGCCACATATGGTGTAAAACGCGTGTAGCATCTCAAATGTCCATAGCTCCTTAGCTAGCCCCCTTTCTAGTTATTTGATTTCTTTTCTGTAAATGTACAGCAAGTTGCAAATTGCTGCCCAGTGTGTATGGAGTGCACGTGGCCACTGGGCAAACACTAACAGTCTGCATGCTTAACAAGGCTTTGCTACAGTGCAGCTATGGCACACAGGATTTCCTTGGTTCTGTATTCTATTGGCTTTACAATGTGCACAATATAGACTTATGTTTTTACAGATTAGCTTTAGAGCACATAGGTTGCAGCCCTGGTCTCTCCTCCTCCTTCCTTGTGCAGTAAGTGCCGCTGTCCTGGGGAAGTAAAAATCGATAGACTTCAGATGCATGGCTGCCTGGGCACTACCATTTTTGCTGCAGTGCTCCTCTTAGGTTTACTCGAGGCTCTTGTTAAGACCAGTAATTATTTTATTATTATTACTTGTATTTGAAGAGCCCATTTATGCTGTAGTGCTTGTTGATAACACTTGATGCTATTTTCACAGTGAATAGAAGGGTAACTATATAACAGGTTTGTTTATCAGCAGATTGAATTGGCTTTTGAAACATGAACAATTCACAATTCAAGTGCTTGGATTTTGGGAGCACATTTGAGAGAGGTAGTTTTAAGATCACCAGGGTTAATTAACAACAAACTAAAATAATCCCAATAGTCCAGTATTTTTGCAGCTACAAACATGAGGTTTAATTATGACTACTGATGTTATTCTATAATCTACCAGTATGTAGAAACCTTAATGCAATTTTCTTTTTACATGAGATATTTTTTATCCAAGATGCTATAGCCTGATAATGCTCCATTATGCTCCATTGAGTTTGAACACATTTAAAGGTCTAATATTGTACGAAATGGACTCGTGAGCTTTTAGCCAAGCAATAATGTTGTTACCTCATCAACATACCTGGACTGTGCTCTCTTTCATATAGACATGCTCGCTCAACCCTTTATTATTAGTCTGTCTATATCGCTAAAGCTCAAAATGCTTTGATCCACCTTGTGATGTCATGTAATGGTAGTTTTTCAAGTTAAAGGCTACTTTTTACCTTTTGTTTGATAGAGATGTGCAATTCCAGGTTTGAATTTATCCAAATGATTCTAATGAAGGTGTATTGAGTTTAAAAATACAGTGAAGCACCTGTGTTACAGGTATGTTTTTCATGCAGAAAGACCATTGTAACATAGATCAGAAAATTAATATTGACCCGCTAAATTAATGTAGGAATTGTGATTTTCGTTTTTGCAATAATTACTAACTATAATTATAAGGAATAATATAAATCTGATATAAATCTGATATAAATCTGTATTTTTACACTAGATTCTACTTTTGGGCAGTAAAATAAAAAAAAAAAAACATTTGATAGATTAATTAAAATAACTGTATTATCTTAGGTGTTTAGATACAGCATTACCATGGGAATTTAACCCTCCTTTAGAAAAAACATGTAGTTATATATAGTTACAGAGTTCACTTTAAAGTTCAGCCTTAGTCTTCATTATTTTGGTCACACTATTAAAAAAAAACAACAACAAAAAAACACCAGATTTGGATGGCAGATTTTTGTTAATTAGATTCATTAGGTTTTATTGGCAATTATTGTTAATGATTAAATTAAATTAATTATTAAAACAATGCTTTTCACAATATACTTTTTGCTCGACAGGTTACATAAGGATGGTATTTCCGAATACCTTATGACCGACTCCGTGTAGCATTTCAAAGCAGAGCTGAGAAACATTCCAATCTTCCATACATGGCTGCACCCGGATCTTTATTTTCAACTGAAGCGTCCCAGCCGGGCCTGAATAAAACATGAAATGGGGGAAGAAAATCAGAGGAGGAAAAATAGCAAAGGCTAAAAGCAGGGCCCTCGTACTGTATGCTCCCGCTGCATAAAGGCTGGTGATGATGAGAGGCGCCTGGTTGGAAGATCTGTCAAACTCAGCAGTGAGAAAGAAACAAGCAGGTGTGACTGTGAAGGAGGCAATCCCACTCTCCCTCTGCCTTTTTATTTTGCATTTGTAAGTGCAGGAATCGGGCTAGCTAGTATGGAATAATGTATAGCTGTAGGACTAGCATGATAATCCAACAAACTATTCCTATTTTACACTTACAGAATGAAATATTTTAGTACTTAGTTTGTATCTGTAATGAGCCATATGTTATCAGTTCAACCTTTTATGGCGTAAATCTTACATTTACATTACAATCTTATAAATCACATTCTATAGGCAAAATGAGTATTTGGAACCACGTACAACACATACATAGACTGTAATATTAAACACAACAAAAACTATTGCAATATTACCAATTTCTCAATGTCTCTCACCTGTAGAATATGAATAGAGTTGTCAACAGATATGCTCAGATGAGAACACAGATACCCCCTTCTTGTGTGACATCATACTCCAGACTATCAAATCAACCTATTATGCTGAATTACCCCATGTTCTTTTCTGCTAGTTCGTCCTAAGAACACGGCGAACTCTGTGCTTTTATTGCATTAGAGTTAATCAGTGCCTCACAGCCAAATGTGCTTAACAAACATGGCCTTCTATCTGAAGCTTTTGGGGATCATTATTTTTGTGTAGCTGCCACAGGTTGCTGCCGTCCTGCTATAGCTGATGTGTCTTGCCCAATGAAAGGGAAGGTTTAGTTTGGACATGTAAACACAGGTTGTCCTAATAATAAACATGAAGTCAGAAACATAAATGTTGAAATTATTGGAACAACATGGAATAGTTTTGGGACTTGAGTTGTATGTAAATGTATGTATGTATGTAAATATGATTGCCATTGTTAATTATGATAATAGATTTGAAAATTCATTCAATTCAAAATATGTTTGTAGTACATTACATTTTGTGGTTTGTAAAGAACATTCTTATCACAGTTTTTGCTAATTGTGCATTTTTTGTATGGTTTCCATGAGCCTTCCACAGATTTTAAGCCCATAAAAATGATATGCTCCCCAGATATGATCAGGGAGATGGGCACAGATGATTTATGTACTGAAGTGGCAGCACCAGTACAGCAGCAGCAGCCTCTCTTTACACAACACATCTGCTGAGTAAGACTTGGGAGAGTCCGGACCTCCTCTGCTCGACTGCAAAACCTGGAACGGAATTCAATCAAAGCTGCAATGCACCAGTCAGCAACTCCAAAACCGCTCCCATTCATAACCATAACTGTCGAGCTATTTTGGCTCCTCTAATGTTAAAGCCCCAAATTCAGTTTAGTGAAACACAAACCCCCATATATCTTCATCAGGTACGCTTTAGGCGTAAATATAGAAAAGCACATCCAGTTTAATATAAGCCTAGTTGTATCTTAACGGTGAACTATGCAACTTTTCTTGTTTAGCCTGTCAGCTGCTTGTTTCCATGGAGATATTAATGCATTGCCTAGAATGTTCCACAGCATGGCATTAAACGTATCTATCTCCATGGAGACAAGTAGTCAAGACTACTGTGGCCAAATTACAAGTCCGATCTGTGGAGGTTACCATGTATTTTTCAGCTATAAAATGGCTGTAATTGAATAAAAGCAAGATAGATAAGTTTAATGCCATACTGTGGAACATTCCAGGCCAAGCAATTGCTGGGTTTCGGATGACATCACAACATTTAAGTAATAATATTTAATACAGATGAGAGATAGGTTTAATGAATATAATTAAAATGCTGATTTTTTTTTTTTTGTAATATAGCAAGTTCTATGCTCTGGTCAGTGGTCACTAACTAAAATGATCAGATTCAACTGTTGTGAATTTACCTGTTAAATATGTGTTGATTAAAATCATGGGAGTATATGATCACATTCTAGAATCCGAAAACCACTGGTAACATCTCCATGGATACAAGCAGGTGGCGTACCCTTCTCCAGGAAAGTTACATAGTGCACCTTTAAATATGCCAGACAGTTATGTAAGAGTGAATGGAGAAACAGCAGGGTACCGCTGAGGCATTTAGTTAAATTAGGAATAGAACATTATGTTGAGATTGCTTTCCCAGTTGATAAGGTCACAAAATACAATTATTTGCTCCCGTATCTTATAAAACAATCCCATATAATTATCACATGTAAATAAAGGATTGTGCATAAACTTTTAATAATCGGAATTTCTGACTCTCTTCTCAGAATCTCAGTGCTCAACTCAAAATATTAGAGCTGAAAGATTTAGGGAAAATATCTCATGGTGACTTTTATGACCATTGCGACAAGATTTTTGATGTGCTTTAATAACAGGATTCTGTTCAAACTTCACATATTAAACATTTCCTGGAGACAAATAGAGTGTAATATGAACTGACTATCAATTTCAGAACACTTTAAGAACCACTAAACTACAGCAGTTTTTTATGCAGAATAACATAGGATATTCAGTTTTTTATGGAGGAAATTATGGTACTTCAGAAATTGCAGCCTTTGCAAATTTTTCAAAAATGCATACCTGCTGAAGAAACAAAACAAAAATGTTATTGTATTAGAGAGAAATTACTTGAGTTCAGTGGAAATTGGATTTGTTCACTGGAGTTTTGTTCAGTAATTATTTTGTGATACTTGACATCTGGTCTGGTCAGTTTTATTAAATTTACTCAACAGACATTAACAGGATATGGGCTAACAACAGATTTGTCACAGAAGTGCTATATTGCTGCAGAAAAAAGAAATATACCAACACAAAAGCAGGATCATCCCAGTGATCTTTTCTAAATGTACAATATTGTTAAAATTATTGGGCTGCTACACATACTCAGCAGAATGAATCACTTGAATAAAAATTTGCAATTATAATCAAAAATAACTTATTCAGCCAAAATCCCAAATCTGAAACATTCCAGCTATCACTTTTTTGTTGTGACAGACCTAGTTAACCACACCTTTTTTCACTGTGCATCTTTTTTCTCTGTGCATCTTCAGTTGATACTTTCGTGCAAACCCGCTCCCACATTTTGGACAGGTGTGGCGTGGGACTCCGGTGTGTTTCATCATATGTTCGTAGAGCATAGAGCTGTATTTGTATGCTGCTCCACACTCACCGCACATGTACGGCCGCAGATCTGTGTGCTTACTGGTGATGTGGCATTTCAGGTTGATCTCCCTCTTAAAGGACATGTCACACTGGTCACATTTAAAGGGGCGCTCCTCTGTGTGTCTGACCATGTGGATCCTCAGGTAGGCAGGAGTGGCCCAGCCTTTCCCACATATGTCACAGGTACGGCTCCAGTCCATTGTGTCTGTTCATGTGTCTTTTAAGGCATGTCTTTTGATAAAACACCTTGGGACATATTGGGCACGGGAATCCACCTGTGTGCCTGTTCATATGTACACGAAGACTAAACTTTGAACTGAACTTTTTACCACAATAAGTACAGACAGTTCGGTCATTTTATCTCTGTGCACGTTTTGATGGTGTTTGAGGACTCCAGCATTCAAACACTCTTTTCCACATGTCTCACAGACGTGCGGCGTTGCACAGGTGTTGTTGTATTGAGCTTTGTGCTTTTTCAAGACATTTAGTTTAGTGAAACACCTTTTACATGTGTCACACTCAAGGAGACGTATGTTCTGGTGATGTTTCACCATGTCACACAGCCTCACAAAGCTTCTCTTACAGGAAGGACACTGATAGGAGCCTTTGACTCTATGCACGTTAAAATAATGTCTCTTCATTATGAGAATTTTCGAGAATGTTTGGTCACACAGGGTGCACTTCATGCTTTTGGTAAATGTGCTGTTCTCAGATTCTCTTTGGGGACCAGAATCAATCCCTGTATTGTTCTTTGTAATACTAGAGATACAAGAGTTCAAATTGCAAGGTTGAATCAAAATGGAATAAAGATTACTTTTTATCGCAGGCATTTTCAGATTTTGGGGAGGGACACATCTTTGGACAGAAGCTTTTGAAAAAGAATTTTGAGAAAACTTTTCAGATGAGAAAATAATAGTCTTGTCCTTAGATAGTTCACTGGTGGAATATACACGTTTAAGAACAACTACACACTGTCTTAGGTCCTGGTCACGATGCTTTCGAGTGACATTCTTCGTAGCAGCTGCCCTTTTCTCTTGCTCATATCTCACCACACAAACCTTCTGGTGTTCTAGTAAAGTTTTATGTGTGTAGACCTGGCCACACAAGAGGCACACTATGTCATCACTGTAAACATTGTATTTTGGAACAGCATCAGAGTCTATGGACACATGCTGAGTCTCTTCTCTCAAAGTATCTGAATCCAAAATGACCTGAGTAATTGTATTCTCTCTGATACATTCTCCTGAGCATCCAGAGATACTGTGTTTGCTGAGTAAAGAAAGATCATCAAAGTTCAGACCACAGATAGGGCACCTGAAGGATTTCTTGCCAACTAATTCTCTCTGATATGCATGGGGCACATCTGTGCTGTAGTACTCTTCATCATCATCAACGTCATAAGAAAGAGAGACCTCCACAGACGGGACATCCTCCTTTGTCCTCACTGTGACTGCCTGTGGTTCATCTCCCTGTGTATCTGAGCTCTGGAGATGTGTGGCCTTACTTTCAGTCTGTAGGTCTGGTGGAACAGAGAGGTTTGGGAAAATGTCTTCAACATAGTGTTCTGTAAAAATCAAACCACTGTTAATGACACTATAACAGTGTTTAAAATGACAACACTAAATGAAGGTCTGTTACCTGTTGAAAATGTATAGTTGTGTTTATGGTGTTGGATGAGGTCATTGAGAGATTCAGTTTCATTCAAAATGTCCTCACACTCCTTCAACACTGAAGGACACAGCCCGAGCCATAGTGAAGTCTGCAGGAGTATACAAGGTTTCATGGAGTTATTTTCAAATATTCATTAGATCTGCTCATAAATATGACTAAAAATAACTCACTTGATCAAGACTTGGCACAGGGAGTAAGTTTTCCAAATGCAGTATTAATTTTCTCACAAGAGTTTGCATAGATGAGTCAAACTTGAAGTCAAACTCTGAGGTAAACATTTTCTGAATGTGATACAAAAAGTTGAATGTATGGTCACATAAAGATCACCACAAACAAATATTAGCAGTGATAAAATAATGCAATCCTTTATGGTCTCTCATGGAAGAAATGAAGGGTCACTGACCTGATAAAACATGTCCTTTTCATTTGGATCATCCAACAGTGAGTAAATGACTTTGGAAAAAATAGCAAATGATGCGTTCATCTTTGATTTGGATTCCTTAAAAATGCATTTAAATTATTAGAATTTGTTGATACCACATCATATACATAATCTAATTTAGGCCATAAACAGCCTACCAACCTCGTCAGCCAGCTCCATGATAAGATCCTCCATCTTCTTCAGATGAGGCTCGAGATTTTGTCTGTAGCACAAGTCATCACTGTTACACATCTCTAACACCACCTGAAAATATAATCACATATAGTGGAAAGGATGCCATGATTTTACATTATATATTTTTAAAGGTCCTATATTACCCAAAATTGACTCTTTTGAGCCTTAAGCCATGTTGTAATGCTGTAACCTCATCAAAAACATAACTGGAGGTGTGTTTTCATTCACACACATTTGGGTAATGCTCTAGTTTTTCTTCATCTCCAAAGCTCAAAATATTCATCTTGTGACGTGCAGGTTTTCAAGTTAACAGCTACCTTTTACCTTTTGTCTAGTAAAAACTGGCGGCTCTGAAATCATCCAAATGATTCTATTACCACATAACATCACAAAGTGGAACAAGTGCTTTCTGTTTGAGGAGAACTCGGCCTAAATGCAGGGTTTATGTGTTAAACATGTGTGAATGAAAGAAAACACAACTCCAGCTATGCTTTTTGGACGCTTAAAACATTTTACTAAAGCGCGTCACCTTCGCCCGTAAGCCCAGGCTTATGTGCACCCTCTCACGCTGGGTGAGTACACCCGGGATAGTGTCGTGCAGAGCGGTGATGAAGTCCTCCAGCAGCCCGTAGTGCCTCACCGCTCTGTGCTGCACGATCCCCCACAGAGCAGCGGACATGAGCTGCAGGGGAGAGACGAGCAGGCGAAGGGAGGACAGAGGCAGCGCACCTGGCAGCCAAACAAACATACATATTATAAACAAACTGCTTGCATACGTCTAGATAAGATTGGAATAACGGAGTTAGCTGTTTAGCTGCACTTACACTGCTCCGGCAGAGGTTCGTTCATTTTGTTCCAATGTAGCAGCGCCAGAGACTAGATCCAGCGATATGAAAGGGACATCTGTATCTCACATCGCCACAAAGCGAGGAAAGAGTTGGGTGTCTGCAGACCTGTCAACGCTTCCATGTTGTGGACGCTATCCAGCTGTACAGACTCTTCTTCGTCGTCTTCAGTGGAGTTTAAAGGCTTCTTACATCCAAAAAGTTGCATTACCGCCATCTAGTGCCACTACCAAAAACGATCTACACAGGGGCGTCAAACTCAAATTCAGAGGGCCAAAATAAAAAGATACGTAATGTTAAACCTTTTCTTATTAAAATAAATGTTTAATAATAGTTTTGCTTCAACACTGAATCCAGAACAAGCATAATATAAAATAATAACACAATTTTAAATAAATAATGTTTCTATAGCCTATCTGTAACCGCTGGACTAGCTCTAACACATATTTGATACGATCTCCCCAAATATAATTATATCATGGGCCAAATTTGGCCCCCAGACCTAAGTCTGACATGTCTGTATTAGTATATCACTTAATAGATCCACGGTGGTCTATCAAGTGAATTGCTTTGTATATGTGGCTCTGAATTTAAAAAGCTGTATTGTGTGCAACATAAACAATCAATAGTTAAAAAAAATATGATAAATGGAATGCATAAATGGGTAGGCTTAACAGAAATAAAATAAACTTAAATATAGAAGTAAAATATAGATTAAAAAATGTACAGAATAAACAAAAGAATAACAGTGAACCTTTTTGTTAAAGGGGCACTATGTAATAGTGGGGAGAATGATCGCTTCACATTTCAACACACAAATGTATTTTGGGTGAATAAGATGAACTTTTTGGCAGTATTTATTCAAAGCATACATAATTTAATATTCAATAATAGTATTCAGCAATTTACATATAGGCTATTTTATGTTTTGTACTGAATCAGAATACTATTTTGCCACTAGATGCCACACAAAACCACAAATCTGTAAGAAGAGAGGAACAGAGGAGAGGCAGCAGGAGACACAGCTGATGGGCAATGGAACAAGCCTCTGGTTCTGACCAAAATTACCCCATAGTGAGGACTACTAAGGCAAAGATAGACCAACAGCTTTACTTTGAGATAAATGTGTTTGAATACATTTTAATTAGTTTTAATGACTAATTCAGGATTAAGCAACATTCTTTACTACCACTCCTGTTAAGTTATGTTGTTGCAACAATCCAAACTCCTCAGTGTGAGATAAATACAGTTATGTTATTTTATCCGATGTCTCTCCTGAACCCTCGCTCATGGTTCCTGTGGTTTACTCCCCTTACCTCCTCTGAGCTTTGGGACACCTCTTAATATGGCACATTTGGTTGACAGCTGAAAAATGGAAGAACAAAAACAAGAACCAAGGAGAAGGGAGCGAAGAAAAATAATTAAAACGTCGCCTAGGTCACCCACTATATGTCTGTCTGGTCTGATTGGAGGCAATTTTCTTATTTTATTTATTTGTAAAGGAACAGCACATATTAATGAACATTTAACTTGTAAATATGTAAAGATTATAGCCAACATAACAAATTTCCATCTTCAGTCCCTCAGCAGGTTGATGCCAAATAAAGTACAGCAACAATCACACACAAGTACATAACACCAGCAGACACACTAATCACTATATGTACAATTCATTTCAGACAGTTCATTTGAAGTTTGCAGTCAAGAGTTAAACCAACACCTCAGTGTAAAAATGTCATGTTTTGTAGTGACATATTTGAACATTTTTATTATTAGGGACAGTTTCTTGCAGTGGCAGTGTGTGTGTGTCAGACCAATTACATTCTTTATTTATATGGAAAATAATCTTCATCAAATGTTACAATAATAGAAGCAGGATCATATAACAGTTCGTATTAACATGTAGTTATAATACCACTAAACGAATATCACTATTAATCTAAAGTGAAACAGACTAATTTCCCCATCCCGTATCCAAATGTAGGCCTATATATGAAGATACAAAACTGCTCAAATAAAGGAACTCTATCAATCTTTATTGCTTCTATTCGCAATAGTCAATATTCAATCTATCAGTCAGTGCAAGTGTCATGAAACCACATTCAGCCACTGCCACTCCAGATAACAAAAAAATGCATTTTAAAACATGGAATGAGCCTTATTAAGCTACAGCAAGTTGTGCATAGCATAGAAAGGTAGTCTAGTAATGCTACAAGATATGTTCATTGGCATTTAGTAAGTTTAGTGTTTCATATCCTATCTAGATTATTAATTGTCTATATCTTGACAAAAAAATTATAGACATTTTGTTTCTCTGTGCTTCTTGAGACAATATTGCCGCCAAAATCCTTTCCCACATCTTGAACACTTGTATGGATTTATTCCTGTGTGCTTAATCATATGTTCCTTAAGGGTATTGCTAAACTTATACGCTTTGCCGCAGAGACTGCACACAAACGGCCTGAGATCCAAATGCGTACTTCTGATGTGTGCTGCCAGAACACTTTGTCTCTTGTAAGTCTTATCACACTGGTCACATTTAAAGGGGTGCTCCTCTGAGTGTTTGACCATGTGTCTGTCCAGATAGGCTTGAGTGGGCCAGCCTTTACCACAGATCTCACAAAGGTATGGTTCCTTACCATTGTGTCTGTCCATGTGTCTTGTGAAGTATGTGCACTTATAAAATACCTTGGGGCATATTGGGCACGGGAAGCCACCTGTGTGCCTGTTCATATGTACTCGCAGAGTGAACCTTGAACTAAACCTTTTTGCCACAATATGAGCAGTCAGTCTGTTCATTTTCAATTGTATGTGTATTTCGATGCTGCTTGAGGATTCCAGCATTCAAACATGCTTTTCCACATATCTCACAGATGTGTGGTGTTGCACAGGTGTTGTTGTATAGTGCTTTGTGGTTTTTCAGCAACTTCAAATTTGTGAAACCCTTTTTACATGTGTCACACTCAAGGAGACGTATGTTCTGGTGATGTTTCACCAAGTCACACAGCCTCACAAAGCTTCTCTTACAGGAAGGACACTGATAGGAGCCTTTGACTCGATGCACATTAAAATAGTGTCTCTTCAACAGAAGAATTTTAGAGAATGTTTGGTCACACAGTGTACACTTCATGCATTGGGTAGATGTGCCATTCTCAGATTCTCTTCCAGAATCAGAATTTGTGTCTATATTGTTCTTGGTGATACTAGCCAAAGACTTAAAGTCACAAGGCGGAATCAAAATAGAATAAAGATCATTGTTTGTCAGATGTTTTAGCTTAATTTGTTTTGGACATTTTTTTAAATTCTTCTTCAAAAATTCTTCAGATGAAAACATATTAGTCTTGTCCTGAGAGATTTCACTGCTGGCAGATAGACGCTTAAGAACAACCACACACTGTTTCATGCATTTTTGGTCACCATATATTTGTGTGTAATCAACATCTCTTAAAGATTCATTTCTTTCCTTGTATCCATTTTCCTGGTGTAGCTCATCATTTTCATAATTGTCAAAAACCTCTTCAGTGTGGGCTCTCAGGTGGCTGGTCAATGCGTCAGAATGGGTAAAGGTTTGTCCACATTTGGAGCAGGTCTTCACTCGACGGCTTCTTTTACACATGTGTTCCTCAAAGGGGTCCAAATGGGCAGTGGTCCGTTTCTCCTGCTCATATCGCACCGCACAAACCTTCTGGTGTTCTAGTAAAGTCTTATGTGTGTAGACCTGGCCACACAAGAGGCACAGTATGTCGTCTCTGTGAATATTGTGTTTTGTAACACCATCAGAATCTATGGACACACATGGAGTCTCCTCTTTCAAAGTATTTGAATCCAAATTGACCTGAGTAACTGTAATGTCTTCGATATAGCATCCAGAGATACGGTGTTTGCTGAGTAAAGAAAAATTATCAAATTTAAGACCACAGATGGGGCATCTGAAGGATTTCTTGCCAATAGATATATGTGGGGGCACATCTGTGCTGTAGTACTCTTCATCATGATCATCAGCATCATAAGAAAGAGAGACTTCCACAGACGGGACATCCTCCTCTGTCCTCACTGTGACTGCCTGTGGTTCATCTCCCCATGTATCTGAGCTCTGGAGATGTGTGGCCTTAGTTTCAGTTTGTAGGTCTGGTAGACCAGAGAGGTTTGGGAAAATGTCTTCAACATAGTGTTCTATAAAAACGCATTGTTAATGACACTATAACAATGTTTAAAAAAACAACACTGAATGAAGGTCTGTTACCTGTTGAAAATGTATAGTTGTGTTTATGGTGTTGGATGAGGTCATTGAGAGGTCCAGGTTCATTCAAAATGTCCTCACACTCCTTCAACACTGAAGGACACAGCCCCAGCCATAGTGAAGTCTGCAGGAGTATACAAGGTTTCATGGAGTTATTTTCAAATATTCATTAGATCTGCTCATAAATGTGACTAAAAATAACTCACTTGATCAAGACTTGGCACAGGGAGTAAGTTTTCCAAATGCAGTAGTAATTTTCTCACAAGAGTTTGCATAGATGAGTCAAACTTGAAGTCAAACTCTGAGGTAAACATTTTCTGAATGTGATACAAACAGTTGAATGAATGGTCAAATAAAGATCACCACAAACAAATATTAACAGTGATAAAATAATGCAATCCTTTATGATCTCTCATGGAAGAAATGAAGGGTCACTGACCTGATAAAACATGTCCTTTTCATTTGGATCATCCAACAGTGAGTAAATGACTTCAGAAAAAATAGCAAATGATGCGTTTATCTTTGATTGGGATTCCTTAAAAATGCATTAAAATTATTAGAATTTGTTGATACCACATCATATACATAATCTAATTTAGGCCATAAACAGCCTACCAACCTCGTCAGCCAGCTCCATGATAAGATCCTCCATCTTCTTCAGATGAGGCTCGAGATTTTGTCTGTAGCACAAGTCATCACTGTTACACATCTCTAACACCACCTGAAAATATAATCACATATAGTGGAAAGGATGCCATGATTTAACAGCATAATGAAAACATAATAATAATCATCATCATCATCATAATAATCATAATTTGCTATTTTTATTTTACTAAAGCGCCTTACCTTCGCCCGTAAGCCCAGGCTTATGTGCACCCTCTCACGCTGGGTGAGTACACCCGGGATAGTGTCGTGCAGAGCGGTGATGAAGTCCTCCAGCAGCCCGTAGTGCCTCACCGCTCTGTGCTGCACGATCCCCCACAAAGCAGCGGACATGAGCTGCAGGGGAGAGACGAGCAGGCGAAGGGACGACAGAGGCAGCGCACCTGGCAGCCAAACAAGGAGTATATGAAACAAATCACAGGCGAATATGGAAAAGTTTTTCGTTACTCGTGTTATTGTGCTGAGTACCACACGCTACACTAGAATACTAGTAGTTGGGCGCTTTGTTTTGGCTCAGTTCAACTAAAGCTCCCGCACAGTGGCTTACCTTCTGTTAAGGCCTCGCTCATTTTTTCAGTGTTGCATCGGGAGCCGTCTGAAAAACCTTTTTATCTCGAACGTCGAACCCACGATTACACTGCAGGACAACACGGAATGCATCGAACTACAAAATTTGCGCTGCTTACGCCACAGAACGCACATTGGTACGTCATTACGCAATGGCCAGTACGCAAAAATAATAATAATAGATAATAATTAAAACACAATACAAAGAAACATAGTATCCATAATGTATAACCGCATACTAGCAGTAAAACAATTTTAAAGGCATAAATAGTGTTGGATATTTTGTACGTGGTCACTTTTGCTGTAATTAACAATTTAACCCACTTGGTGGCACTCTAACCTAGAAGGCGCTGCCATGGTTCGCTTGCTGGTCACAGGTCTGAAGAACATAGTATTCATTCATTCATTCATTCATTCATTATCTATCTATCTATCTATCTATCTATCTATCTATCTATCTATCTATCTATCTATCTATCTATCTATCTATCTATCTATCTATCTATCTATCTATCTATCTATCTATCTATCTATCTATCTATCTATCTATCTATCTATCTATCTATCTATCTATCTATCTATTTATTTATACAAAAATAAATGCCATTCATTCACATTTAGGCTAAATAAAATGACTCTAATTGTACTTCAATGAACAAATCTAAATCCCCTTTTTAAGATGGCACAGTTTATATTAGTCCCGGCAGGTCCTGGTCAGCTGGCACTGTGTACTGTGCACTGTGCACTGTGTACTGTGCACTAGTTAGTGTGTACTGTTTACATAGAATTTCAGCCAGTTAGGTTAAATGTAGTCTATTATGGTCACACCCATTTACATGGTTAGTAGTTCAAAGTGATGAAAATACATTTATTTATTGTTTTATTCATCTCTCACTTCACCATGTGCCTCAAAGTTTCTTGTACTCACCACTAGATGGTGGCATTTACCTTCTACTGCTCCATAAACTATACTTCTTTATACAGTCTGTTTTTCTCAGATCTTTTGGCACATTTTGTTAATCAGAACTAACTAATTGTTAAATCTTCAAACTCTTAGTTACTTCTGAAAATCTTTAAGTGACTTGACACTTTTCACACACTAGACAGAGGTAAATTCTTCAAACTTTCTGAAATAGTTTGTGACTATAGGGTAAGTGTGAAAACTTTTACAAAGTGTGCAAATTGGGCAAGCACTGCAACATTTATACAATTTCAAAAAGATAAAAAAAAAAACCAAAAACATAAGTAAGCTCTAATGAGATGACATTTTTAAACTCTGGGTTTTTGGACATGCCCCAGATAGCAAAATGTCATTGAATTGACATTGATGTATCTATTGTCAGGCTTTTGATCTTGCTCCTGCTGATCAACATTAAATAAGAGTTGATATTTAATTCATCTGCTCAACTACAATCTTCAGCACTGGAACAACTGGAATTTTCAACTCTGTGTATTCTTTTGTCTTGCTCATATCTTTCTTTTTTTAACTATTCACTGCTTTACACAGATTATAATTATAGTTTGCCTTTTTAGAAGTTATGACCTAATAAAGTTTTGCAGTTTGCGCCAATAGTTGTAAGCATGAGCTGTAGCCAGACAAAATACAGAAAATGACAGATGGAGACTCAGGGAGCGAGGGAGGAGCACATTTGTAATCACAGACTGCCTAAGTCGGAAATTGTAACATTCTTTTGCATTAATTGCTCTACATCTATGGAAACCAGTTCATGTCAAAAATGGGGTAAAGACAGGTTAAGATGAATTTGTTTTTTTAATTTTATTTTCAAATACCACATGCTTTTTACTGCGAGATTAGTCACCGGTTATTATTGAAGGCAGTGAGCGGTGTACGAGTCATCACTGTGCCCTGAAAAATAGCCTACGGTAAGTTGCTGTAAATCTGTCAACAAAAGCATGACATATGTCCATTACACTGTTTACTCATATGCAACAGGTGGTGCAGTAAAAACAGTAATAATGCAAACACAAGCTTTGGGCCTTTTGTTATTGCAGCGCCCAGGGCCAGTCTGACTGACATCATGGTCTCAAATGTTTTTTTGTTGTTTTTTTTTAAATTCAATTCCAATGAGATCTGTTCATGTATAAGTCTTGGATGTGATGATTTTGGCATTTCCATTCAAAACAGATGTTGTGAAATACTTGAACTTCTTATATTTGTGCTTTGATGATGTTCACCATACAGCTTTTAAAGTAATATAGTAAGTATGAGTGTGTTATAGCAAAAATAATACCGCAATTTTCTTGGAGCTACAGATATATTCTATAAGCAGCTCTCAAAATAAGTCAGCTTTTTACTGTCTGCATCTATAAACTAGGGTGTTTTTATTTGTCTGAGGATCAGGAAAGGCACATTGTTGTTACTGTGATGGCAAAACTCCACAGTGGCATCTGAGAGTTGTGGATTTCTTCTGTTTTTCATCTTTTAAGACTGTTTTTTAAAATCAGGCACAGCACCCCTAAGTCATTGTATCAGTTATTCTTACCACTATTAAGTACAACTTCATTGCAAAATAATCTTGAAACAATTCCTTATCCACTGGCCCAAATTGCACGGCAGTTGTGTAACTTCACTGCTATAATCCTGCAGAAGACAAATGACCTCCCCTTGGCTATAACAGCATGGATCTTGTAAGTAATCTCATAAGACAATGAAACCATGTCTTAGCACGCAACATACTTGTTGATACAGCGGCTGTGTCAAGATCTCACCCTATTGGTCAGTGGTGATAGGTGCAAAGTACACTTGGAATTGACTAGGATTTACTAAAGCCATTTGGGATAAGGAAATTTAACAAATATCTCTTGTCAATATTATGAACGCTTGTACTGATCACAGGCTCCAAAAATGTGCTGTTTAAATCTATTTTGTATTTTTTTCTTGAGTTTTCAGACTGTCACCATATAACTGATGAACATTCCAACCATAGAGATACATGTAGAAAACCCCCCTGGTGTGACGTCACAGCAAATTATCAATATTAGAATGGCAGACTTTATTTTCTTTCTATGCTTGCCTAATATGTTTGTTTAGTATATGTAACAAAAGAGTGAAAATATTAATAATAAAATTGAAATTGAAAATAAGATAAAAAAGCATTCACAGAGCAAACATACATTGTCATCGTGTCTGCAACATTATCCACCTGAGGGAGCGCTTAAGCCTTTCCCCTTTTATCCCATAACCTCCGACACCGAGGCTCAAAATATCATGTCTGCATTTGAAAATAGTGCCCTACTTCTTTGGAGCTTTCCAAACTTTTGTGCACGCAACGGTGAAAGGAAAGTTGATTAATGCGTCATGACGAATTTTAATTTTAATTTAATTTTCCCTTACAAATGGAAAAAATAAAATAAAATAATCTCAACAAAAAAAAATAGAAATACAGCTGTACCCTTTTAAGTTCATGACAAGTAGTTTTGATGGGAACAGAGACCTGTTTTTTACTTCACATCTTGTACACACTATTTTTGTCATTCGAGTGGCCACTTTTGTGTTAGGAACAAGATCAGAATAAGATGAAGTATTTTTGCAGTTTGCCAATGTGATGGAACAAATACACAAAGGTGCTTTGGTGCTATGGTACAACATAAAAAGATGATTAAAAATCATATAAAATGATTACTGTCTAGCCTAAATTATAACATAACCTCCCTGTCAAAGCCTGATCTCGTCAGATCTCATAAACTAAGAAAGGGAGGGCAGTGTTTGGATGGGAGACCTGTGGGAATTCCAGGTGCCACAGTATAACGCCAGTGGCAAAATCTGTTGTTTTATCCTTCTGCAAGACACTTCATCCAAATTGCCTAGTCTGCGTACACTCACTCACAGAAGTCAAACGGACTGTTGCATTAGCGGTCTATACAAAAGGAACATCTGATGCCTCCATGGGATTTGGATCTGTTCTGAAGCATTGAGCTGTCTGATCACTGATTACACACTCTCTTTGCTGCATTGCTTTGATTAAGTATTCTCTTGGCTCTTGTCTTTTTTGTTCGAAATTAGGCAAGCACCGAATGGCTGAATGGAATCGCTACATTAAGGGAAATATTTAACTAAAGGCAACAAAAAGTAATATTATAATTATAGTGAATGGTTAAACTGAAATGAGTGGTTTTACTGTTTTTAATTAATACTCTACTAAGCTATAGATTTATATATTCATTTTTCAAAAAAAGAAAAAGAAAAATCCCTTGGCATATTACGTCACCTACTCAAAATATAACATATAGCTGTACATTTTATTTTCTTATTGATACTTCTTTGTGAGTCCAGTCCAAGCAAGAACAGAATTTCTTTTCCAAACCTCACTGGCCTATTAAAGGAGCGCGTGGAGCAGCCAATCAGCAGCGCGCACTGCTCTGCTCCGCTAATCGTGGATAAGCTACAACCGACTCACTGCAGTCCACAGCTCTGGGAGGGAGAGGTATCAGTCCATTCACTACAGCCTGTGTTTGTGTTATTAGCTCACTTGGATCTGGGACTGGGTGATTTTTTTTCTTCTTCTTTTCTCTCTCTTTTTGCACTGCGTATGTTTGGTAGGCTGCACGTTTGGCTTTCAGGTAGAGGTGGGTGCACAAGAACCAGAGGAGCCCTGACGCTGCGCTGCAGGTCAGGTAGGACTGGACTCAACTGATGGCTCTTCAATTGTAATCCACGCTGCCGTAACTGCGCGCTCCGTTTTGTATTCTCCGTCGCGATGTTCAAAACGGCCAATTATCCCACGGTGGATCCTGCGCCCACCTTCATGCACGGCACTTGGTTTGCCACGGGGTGCCGTGAAAACACGCCCGTGGCCGTGGAAAAACCTAAGAAAAAAGCGTTCAGCCTGGTCAAAATCATGTCTCTGAGCAACAAGAAAGGACACGACAAGCCCCCGCACCACAACAACAACATGCCGTTCACCATCCACTGTACCATCGGCAAAGAAATCAAGCACATATGCAGCAACTGCAGCCGAGGCAACGACACTCAAGACGGTGAGTAGGAGAGAGAAAAGGCTCGAGGCTTGGACCACTAGCCCTGCGGTACAGCCTCCTCTGCTCTGCGCTCACAAGATGGCCTAAAGGCATTAAGACTGAGCAGGTTCTTCTGCAGTTTGCTGTAGGCCTACTCTGTTGAGAGCGTGTCAGACACTGCTATAAGTGGGTCAGTGTAGTACAGAACAGTGCTGCTGTGAGCCTCAGGACTGAGTGGGTCAGAACTTCTTATCAGAGTGCTACCTGTTGTGTGGTATGGTGTCAGTCTGCATACAGCCTATTGATGGTCTATAATGTTTTTATATGCAGATGTAGTCCTGCTCATACCGATGTCTGATGATGTTGGTTCTTTGAAATCTGAGAAATGTGAGCCTTTTCAGTTTCTTGTCATTACATCACCATTCAGCCATTTTTGTATGCAAACACTGTCTTCTTAATTAGAACCATACTCATTACACAAGAGACTGTCTATTTCTGTATGGGATCATTTGCCCTGCTCTCAGGCCAAATGTGGTCATTAGCAGGTTGTGTAGGCTTCTGTTTCGCACTGACTGAGATGGTTGAAGATGTCTTCCTTATCCTCTGCAGCTTTATTCTGAGCAGCCTGTGTGTTTTGGATGCCTAATGAAGTCACTTGGATCTATTGGCTTCAATCAGTATTGGCTGCAGCACTATTTATAGACTGGTGTGTATAGAACCAGTAAGAAAGTAGCCTTTGAGGCACTAGAGCATCCAAGTAATGGAGCGTGCTGGGACTGGTTAAGTCTGCATTACTGTCACATCGTTTGCATGTATTCCCAGTGCCCCGAGGAGGTGACTGGTGTGGACTGTGTGCAGTGATAGCTGTGTGTTTGCAAACCCCATTACTCTGAATGTAATGTTGTCATTCAAAAAGGCACCTCTACATATACCACAGAGAATATGACTGATGCTGTGATGCAATGAGGCGACATTGACAACAAAGCATTCATTAAGAAGAGCCCATGCTCACTGAGGCTGGGCTTATGCTCATGAGATATGTACTTGTGATGTTCACTTTCTCTAGTACTTTTGTTTTTAAAGTGGAACTAAAAACACCCACAGTGGGGTTTAAGTGTTTGGTCCCACTTTAAATTGGCTTAGTAACATGGCCTGGTGTCACCTGCTCGCCTCCATGAAGATAAGCAGATACATTTAATGCCATACTGTGAAATATTCCAGGCAACACTATATCATCTCCATGGAGACAAGCAAGTGGTCAATCAGAACAATATATACAAGTTATGAAAAATCCTGAAAGCACTCCTATAGAATGCCAATAATGATTACCGAGAAGCTCTGCCAATATTTTTGTGGGCAATATATATAGGATCGATTTTAGATTTCCCTCAAACTGTGTAATTTAAATTCACTACAAACATGCCTACAGCTTTTTACCACAGACCAATAAAAGAGCAGTGTAGTCAAATTGTGCGCAGTTATCTCTTTGCACTAAGCTGTTCAAATAAAGCTTTATGTCTATGCTTTAGGCTGTAGGTCGACCAAAACAAAATATCGGACTCTGCTGGAGATCTATGGTCCATAGCCAATGCGCTGAAAGGCGCAAATATCATCATATCTTGAATGTCCTACATTATGCAAAAATGACTCTTGAGAACTTTTAGCCATATTATAATGTTGTTACTTCATGAAAAAAAAAAAGAGTTGTATTTTGTTTCATTCACATATATTTGACTGATCCTTTATTATTAGTCTGTCTGTATCTCCAAAGCTCAAAATTCTCTGTTCCACATTGTGATGTCATGAAGCAGTAGTTTTCAAGTTAACAGCTACTTTTTAACTTTTAGTTCATCAGAGATATAGGTAATTCTAGAGCTTAAGGATCCAGATGATTCAAGTGAAGGTGTACAGAGTTTAAAAACACAGTGGAGCACTTGTATTATATGACATCACAAGGTGAAACAGGGTGTTTTCTGTTTGAGAGAGAAACAACAGGGTTTGTATGAATGAAACAAACCACAACTCCAGGTATGTTTGTGATGAGGAAACAACATTATACCATAGATCAGAAAATAGTGTGATATAGGGCAAAACAAGTAAAGACTCCAGTATATCAAACCTAATTATGCTACAGAAACACACAATGGGACATAACTGCTGTCCTATCTTGTCTTCCCTCTCTACACCTTTCATTCTACCTGACACATTTTACAGTCTGCAGTGCACTTCTCTAGCATAGTTACCACACTTACCACCTCCTCTGCACCCTCTTCTCAACCAGTTTTGACTTACCCCTCCTCTTTTTCTCTCTTTCTCTTTCTCTCTCTCAGCTGAAGAAGCAGAGCGTTTTGCCACCATGCGCTCCGAGGCCATGCTGACTGGCACCCACACGCCGCCCATTCGCCGTCGGAGCAAGTTCGCCTCTCTGGGACGCCTCCTCAAGCCCTGGAAATGGAGGAAGAAGAAGAGTGAGAAGTTCAAGCAGACCTCAGCCGGTATGTTCCACTTCAGTGGGCATTAAAACATGGTGTAGATGTTCAAGAGCTGCAGTGGTGTGAATACAGTGTCCTTATCTATTTTTGGCATCCTTCAGATTCCATGGTAATGTAGGTAACTTCATAATGTAGTTTCAGGAGATTCTGATCAATATTTTTGCAGTACTCTTGATTAAAATAAAGTAATCTTAGGACTCTAATTGTGATGTATCAACTATTTAACTATTTTTGGTGCATTGTGTAACTTTTCTGGTAGAGGGTCTGTCAAATTCTTTTCTTCATGGAGATGTTTTTGCTTTGTCTGGATACTTCACAGTATCGTATTAAACATTTCAATCTGCATGGCAACCAAACCATACTAAGTTACATGTCAGATCTGTGCTCACAGTCAGAATGTCTGTTTTTCTAGGTATTTTTGACCAATAAAACCACGGACCCCCAACCAAAAAGTTACTCAGCGCACCTTTTAAAGCAATATGATGATAATGATAATGTGGGACTCTAAATCTACAATTATAATATCACAAAGACTGCAACGTTATTCAGTCGGAAGGTCAAAACAGACAACAAAATAGTGTATTTCATATGTATTGCACATAATTTGTCAGTATTGTTTATCTATAAGCCTGAAGTCAGAATAGTTTTACGTGTTTTATGTGGTTACAATAATATACATGTATAATAATCAAAGTTGGATTAGTCAACTGATCAAAAAAATAATTGCTGACTAATCGATCATTAGTTTCAGCGTGTAAGTACTCCGCCTCAATAGCCCTGTCGTGTTTAAAATGAGTTTTCTTTGGCTAAATAAGGAGTGCCTGTTTTGGTCTCTGGGGTGATTGAAATTGATTCTCCAAAAGTGCAGTGTTGTGAGTTTTGTGCTCTCAGGCCTCTTTGGTCTCTTTGATGCTGTATTCTGCCGTTGTCAGGGGCGACAGAAGGACAGACTATTGCTACAAGCCTTGGTCAGTCTGATGGTTACAGCTTAGATGGAGATACAGGTTTGGATTTGGGCAGAAAGAGACAGCGCATCGCATACCCATTTAAAGACTTAATAGAATTAGCATGTTGTTAATATACTAGGCTGTGATTGCTCTCTTTTACAGCCACTCCTGAGACACCTGTTTTGCAAAGGATTTTAGAGCTATTTTTGGCTGTTATACTATACTGTATAATCAAATATAAAATGATTAGATACAAGTCTAGAATATTCTGTTATCTGAGACTGTGTATGTGTATTTGCAAAGGAGGAAACCGGAAATTACTGCAGTGGTTGATTTGTGCATATGGTTATGTTAAAAGCACTGGAACTGAATGTGAAAAATAGCTCTCATCCATATTAAACTGTTTGCAGTGGAGTTGAATAAGTGCTTTTCACAACTCACAGACCAGTAGAGAGTTTTGTTGTGAGGGTAAAGCTAAAAACAACTAGAATGCTAACTTGCACTTCCTGATATTCAGACACTTTTTTTTTTATAATTAAATGCAGACAGTACTCAGGACTTGACCTCCGGAGGTGCTTATACAATATATCTGTACTGTGAGAAGACTAATAATAAAATTAAAAATAAAGGTTTAGGACTCAGCTGTTTTGATCCAGTTTTTATTATGATTTTTATTAAGAGAATTTTTTTGGTTGTAGTTGATATTTATTATGTCAAATGGCGAAGGGCAGAATTCTTTGGTTTGGACTCATATGGCAGGAGGTTTCTCGAAGTCATTGTGTCATTTGATTGGTGTCACTTGAAAAAGGACTTTCTAAATCACAAATTGCTCTGCCCATGACCTTAAAGCAGTATTAAGGAGAAAGCTTAAGCTTTGCCGTGCACAGCTGACTTATTTTGTCTTCAAGTGATTCTTATACGTCATATCTGTACTGCTGCAAGATTAATTTGATCCAAATACATGGGAAAAATCAGGTATAGGGCCTGTAAGTATTTTAGACACTGTAACGTAAGTTGATGAAAATGTTTGACAGAAATATTTTGTAGTTTTACACAAGCTTTTGTCAGAAGTCTAACGAAAGTCTAAAAAATAATAAACAGAAGCCCATGCAAAGTGGAGTCTGAATGCTTCTACTTTATTATCAAATGTACACAAAACCCCAAACGGTGTGGGAAAGCTGTCCATTCACTAGTGTGTCCATATGCAGTGTACAATGAAAAACACTGCTCTAAAAGGGCACATTATGCTGGGAATTCGGATTGGAACAGCTCTTTTCACTCTTTTGTTATGCACTTATTTTGTTTGCATAATTCCTCTCTCTCCAAATACTCATTATTTGTCCACTTCTTTTGATGGTGGATTATGACTTTATATAGGCATATCTCAGAGGAGGGCTGGAGACAATGTCCAATCTGAGTATGGAATGCCAGGCAGGTGCTTTACTTGCCAGCATGCCAGTGGGTTTTGTGCCCGTCACATCCATTTGGGCTCCCACTGTGATCCCAACTTCTGAAAAGCCCATATAAGCGAATGCGGAAAAGTGGAGCAGTACCAACAATCACGAATCAGTGCGACCAATTCACATGACAGGAAGTAGCTCAGTGATTTCCTACTTGGATGGTGCTGTACAGACAGAATAAGGGTGAATGATTCATCAAAATAAATCAGAATTGGTATTTGAATTAGGGTAGGGTGATATAGCAAAATAGTTAACCACACATTTCTTTAAGTTTCTTTTTTCTCTTGCTCAAAATGTCTTTCAATATAAATGTCATGCACTAAGCAAGAACCAGCTTTTAACTTTAAAAAGGAGTTAAATTTATTTTTCTAAAGTCTGAGCTCTCTTGCCAGAATGATCTCTCTGTATTCTTTACAAGAGGTCTGCGTGGTCCCCAATCCCTTTGTCACGCCTCAAGACAGAAGTAAACATGATCGTCCAATCAGATTTGTTTATTTCAGTGAAGTATATTAAATGAAGGAGCTCACTGGTCATCTGTCATTTTGAGCAAAGTTATATTTCTCTCACCTCAGATTAACAGAGTTTAGTGTGCCATTTGCATCATTGTTTCTGTTTTTCAGGCCCATGTGATTTTTTATTTATTTATTTTTTTCCCTCGTAAGGAGCCATAGTTATTTCGTTATGGACTAATCATGCATGTCCCTGATTGGCTAATCCACCTGTCAATCACCCCCATTTGACCTGTGGGAGATTCAGCGGTGACCAGACTCTTCGTAAAGTATTGGAGAAGTGTGTACGCTTGATCCCAGACAACGAACTAGCCCCAACCTTAACACTGACATTCTGAAACTATTAGATCTCGATTTGATTGAAATTAATTTTTTTATTTCACAGTCTTAACATGAATGGATAAAATTATGTCTCACAAAATACCTTGTCTCCAAGGGGTATTATTACATATCAAACCCTGACGTTTAGTCCTGTGTGTTACATGGGATTTCTGTAGTATTTTAGCAATTATTATTATTTAGCAAGTATTCTGTCAACTTTAAGGGTTTGCAGAGAATGTTTATAAAATGTGTACTTTGTCTTCTTGATTCTTAAGAAATAAGAATTATATATTTGTACATATTTTTCCAAATAACAAAAAAGACCAATGGGCAAATATTCCTTCATCTCTCTTACATCTCTTCTTCGTGTTGTGTGTGTTTTTTATAACTTGATTGCTCTTTTGTAACAGGTCATCACAGAGACCTACTTATTATTCAGTTCAAAGCCCACAGCACAATGACCTATTTATTTCTCATAACCATTAATGTTAGAAAAGATGCAGCAAAACGGACACACTTCCTCCTACAGTAAATATAGATCAGTGATTCTCTGGTACGTACACATTTAATGTTGCAGATGTTGCAGTGGTCTGGTGGATTACTCTGGCTTTATACGTGGTTTGGTCCTAGACTAGTCTGGGTTCAGACCTGGTTTAGTTTTAATCATCTTTTGCACTAAATAGTTCAGCTGTGTTCCTGGTTTACTTTGTTTAATCCAGGAATATGCCCTACTTAATGCACATTTTAGTATAATAGAGATTTAAATCATCAAATGCAATTTTCCTGCATGACATTTTTTGGTTAATATTCTAATGCACTGTACTTTCAAATGTAAAGATGATTATGCAAGGACTAGTCTGCCACATGAATTATTATTCAGAACATAAACCATTGTTCTCTATGAAAATATAGCTGTTGTGTGAACACCTTGTCTGCAAATGTTAGACTGCAATACAGCTGCACAGTCTGGATTTCTCTCATGGTGCATTGTTTTTAAAATGTATATTTATAACAAAAACTGTATTGTATTTTTGTAATGGAAATGTAGAATCCCAGTTCTGCCTCGTTTGTGGGTTGTTTTGAATATAGCAGCCATTGTCTATATATATATATATATATATATATATATATATATATATATATATATATATAACTTGTTAAATTTGGAATCTAGTTTCAATACTAGTTTTCATATCAACAAGTACTGAGAAATGAAAACAGAATATTTTAGGAATTGTTTTGACTCTTGTCCTACCATGGGTTGCAGACTAGAGGGCTGAAAAATTAGGACTGTTGCTAGAGTAATTAACAATTCAAAACAAAATATATCTATTGAATATCTCCTTTTTATACATGAAACTGAAACTCATGGATATCAAAAATAGTATAAACCCACATCTAAATAAATGGAATCACAACATGTCAACTCACACTCTTCCATTTGTGTACAAGTTTGACTGCTTAACGTGTACTTTCAGATTAATAGAAGAGTCCATTAAAGTTTCAACGCAGGTTTTCAGAGGCAGGTCTGGGAAATGGTCTTGGTTAAAAGCCCCCACTTTGAGCTACAGTGCCTGGGGCTGCTGCTGGGCTGTGTTCGGGCTATCTGGGTCACTTTGCAGACAGATATATTTTCTCTCACTCAAAAAGAATATAAATTACTAAGCGCAGTTTTGCACATCAATACAGACAGCTCATGTTGTTGCCAGTTTGATTTGATATGCTCTTAGCTGAGTGTCTCAAATGAGGCTCCTCTCCTGGTTCACATTTTCACTGTTGGACGTTGGTTCTGAAGGTGATTTTTAAAGAGGTCATGTCCCAAAGATGTTTCGAGTACTTCCTGTTATATAGGACAAGAACACGAGAACTAGCAGCAGCAAGAATGGTGCAACCTTGAGAACATATGGCTCATGGTCTTACAGAGTACAAACTTATTACATAAAATGGATTCTCTTGTGAACTTTTAGTCATGTTTATAATGTTGTGTTTCATTCATGCATGTTTGAGTAACCCTTTATTATTAGTCTGTCTGCATCTCCAAAGCTCAAAAATGCTCTGTTCCAGCTTGTGATGTCATGTAGTGATAGTTTTCAAATTGACAGCTGCCTTTTGTCTTTAGTTAGTAGAGGTTGTCAATTCCAGGGCTGAAATTATCTAAGTGATTCTAGTGTATGGAGTTTTAAAAACACAGTGAAGCACTTCCTGTATTACCACATGTGTGTCCAAGCGTCTCTGTGTGCGTCGGCCTTTAGACATTTAGATATGCCTTAGAATTAAGATGTTTATGCACATTTCTTTTGTGCATAGCCTTCTTAAAAAATGACTTCTGTTGTGGATCAAGGTTGACTTTGTCTTAAAGTTTTAAAACTCATAACCGGATATTAATAATAAAACTTTGACTGAAATTTGATTACTTAACAACCACCAATACTGAAAAAAAATCCATAAATGAACAAACTGTGCACATCCTGGTGAGGTGTTCTGATTTAATGGTGTTACACAATCCTGGACATTCATGAGCTGGAGGTTATGTCATAAGCTTTCAGTAATTACTTCTCAAATGAGGAGGGGATGGTCTCATAATCCTTCAAACATAATATATTCATTGGCATATCACCACTGAGCAATTGGTTTCTCAACAATGTTCTGCAATTCACAGTTCTGTTATATGAGAGACTTTTCCTCTTCAATTGCAATGGCAAAATCGGTAATCTTCTTTGTTTTGAAAAATTATTAAAGTATTCTTTTATTTGTGACCATCTTCTACAGTTATTATCAGTGAAAATGAAATGTCTAGTGGGTTTGGTCAAGGAGGGATAGAATAATATTTAAATTGCACAAAAAAGTATTTATTCATTTTAACATTTAACAAAACAAAAACAAAAACCTCCCACGGCCCACCCCTTTTTGCACCTGCCTCAGTCAACAATCACCCAAGTCTGGTCAAGTCTCAAGCCAGTATGTATAAGAAAGACCTCCACATCAGCTTGAAGTTCTGTCTAAAATACTTTTGAAGGTATTACTATACAAAGAGTAAACTGCAAGCCTCTGATTACTTTTTAAAATGACACTTTTTCCAAATGAAAAAATTATAAAATTAGTATGTATCAAACATGACTTTTTCAGTGCTGATAAATAAATTGTATGTTACATTTTAGATGAAAATGTTCCAGACAAAAACGACCAACTTTGCACGCACCCCTTTGATATTTTGTATTCCTTTTCATCTTCTAAAGTGACAGACGTTTATGAATAATTTCCATGCTCAAAATGTCTAAGAATAGCAGCAGTACTTATAGTGCTATGGGCGCCAGACTAAACCAGACATTGGCACATGCCTCCTTCCAATATGTAAAATCTGTTTATTGAATTGGGTCAAAAATAATCTTGCATAAATTATACATTATGTACTAATATGACCTAATATTACAGGGCCCATATTATACTATTTTCTGATTTATGATATAATGTTGTTGAGTTGTGTCATTTCATTCACACATGTTTAACACACAAACCCTGCACTTTAGAGTTCTTCTCTCAAACTAAAAATATTGTGTTCAACCTCGTGATGTCATGTAGTAATATAGGAAGTGCTTGACTGTGTTTTTAAACTCCATACACCTTTACTAGAATAATTTGGATAATTTCAACCTTAGAATTGCCAATCTCTACTAAATTTAAGGTAAATATAGCTTGTTAACATGAAAACTACTGCATCATGACATCACAAGGTGGAACATGGAGCATTTTGAACTTTGGAAATGTAGACAGGCTAATAATAAATGGTTACTCAAGCATGTGTGAGTGAAACAAAACACAACTCCAGGTATGTTTTGATGAAGTAACATTGGCTTAAAGCTCACAAGAGTCAACTTTCTGGAGATGGCACGTCCATTGCATAATTGCATGTCATGCTTTTATTTTATTTTGGCAAAAAAGTTACATGGTGAGGCTCTTAAGTGCAAGTTAGATTTCGCCTTTCACAAATAACAGCCTTTCCGTCCAATTTTCCTCCTCTTTTGGGCTTATTTGTCTGAAATTCTGGTCATGTCCTCTCATAAAAACTCCTCTCCCGACTGGCTAATTCCTCGCCCTGAGCTAGTATCAGACAAGCTCACATTGGAAAAGTTTTTTAAGTTCACGGTGATATTGAATTTGTGCAATCCCAAAGCGTGCTGTCTGATGATAATTCTGCGTTATTTGGGAGAATCAGCAGTTAAGTCTTGAAGCACCATCTTGTTTGACATTCTGCTCAGTTCTGTGCTCATTTTTTTGGGGGGGGATTTGCGGTGATGTAGTTCGCTGTCACCACGGGCAACAAAAAACAACAAGTCCATTATATGTCGACGTGATTGATTTTAGAAGTCCCGTGGTTATTTGCGGTACAACCTGTGATCTTTCGTTGTCATCATGAGCCTGAGGAGCCTGCAGGGACATCCCCCCTCTCTGTATGCACAAGTTGTTCTAGTTCTTAATTAGTTTTCATGCCGAGATACATTTTGAGTTTGCTGGTGTGGTTGCGGAGTGCTTTTGTGTCGGGCCCACTGTAAGAAGATGTTAAGTGTGTAATAAGTTTGGAAGCTAAAAATAGAAGCATGCTGGGGCTATGGGGCAAGCCGCAGTGTGCATAATTTATTAGAATGAGCTGTGGTTTTCTTTATAGCCCCCAAATTCTCATTCATACTGTAGGCTGAGCATTATAACATGGTTTTATATGGATTGATGCAGTGTAGATTTAATATAATTTTAATTTTTCTTTTTTTTTTTCAATTGTGATGAGATTGTCCTGCTTCTTATAAGTCATTTCACACACTGGTTAAAGCTCCTATATTATGCAATTTGACTCTTGTGAGCTTTAAGCCGTGTTAGAGTGTTGTTACCTCATCAGAAACATACCCAGAGTTTTGTTTTGTTTCATTCACACATGTTTGCATAATCCTTTTATTGTTTGCGTGGCTACATCTCTAAAGTTTTCAAGGTTGACAGCTACCTTTTTTTTTTACCTTTAGTTCAGTAAGGATTGGAAATTTCAGTGGAGCACTTCCTGTATTACCACATGGCATCATAAGGTGGAACAGAGTGTCTTCAGTCAGTAAAATCTTCAGTCACTTGATGATTTTGATCCAAAAATATGAAAGAAATGTGTATTAATTTTGACAGTGCTAAGATTTTGAAAAACTTGTTTTTGCACTCCTGTCTTCTTCCCTAAGACCTTTCCCTCATTTGGCATACAACCATACAACATTAAATTAAATTCTGCAGATGTCATAGTTAAAGTCAGTAAGTAAGTCTTTTATTTATATAGTGCTTTTCACAGATGTATGTCACAAAAAAACTTTACAGAGCATTACAGATTCATTCATTTCCCTCCGCACCCGGTGATGGTAAGCTACTATTGTAGCCACAGCTGTCCTGGGGCATACTGACCGAAGCGCGGCTGCCAGGCCAATCGGCGCCATTGGTCCCTCCAACCACCACCATCACTCACACACACACACACACACACACACACCACTTTCATACTAGGCAATGTGGGTGAAGTGTCTTGCCTAAGGACACAACAACAGTTTTTACGACTGGTGCCCAACTGTGGCACCTGATTTTTCCAGTGGTCTCCCATCCAAGTACTAACCTGGCCCGGCCCTGCAGTTTTCAAATTTGGAGGTACACGATATCACCATGGTGTACTCTATAGAGTTACAGTTGAAAATTCACCTGTAGCATATTACTGGAAACTGAAATATCACAGGATTTTTAAATGCAATCCAAGTATTGTTATCTTGCCAAAATTAGAAATTGGACTGCAAAATGAATCACGATTGAAACCATAATTTGAAACACAATTTGAAAATCTGGAACACTGCATATATTGTGTTAGGATTTATAAAACCCACTAACCCTGATGTGGACCTCTATAAAATTATTCTAAATACATCTGTGTTAGTTTAGCTGCTCAAGGCATCATTGTTCACTGTTGGATTTACATACATTTATGACATTTATTACAAACATAAGTGAACACTGTAGATTTGAGTTGTTCACAAATATGCAGAAGGATGAATTGGCTGCTTTGAGTATTTACAGAAGACTTAAGATCTTTTCATGCATCACACTACTGCACAGAGCACATCCCAGTTTTTGCCTTGGGGGGCCTCTTTTATTACAGTAGATTTGTGCTTTGGAAGAGCTTGGAATTCAGGCTATCTTCTCTGCACCAAAGTTATGTAAATGACTAATATATTTTTCTGTTGTGTCCTCAGCTTTGGAGAGGAAGATGTCAATGAGACAGAGTCGAGACGAGCTGATCAAACGAGGAGTGCTTAAGGAGATTTTTGAGAAAGGTGAGATTTCTGGATGATTCTGATAAAACTTTTAACATTTTCTTAATAAAGTTTGAGAATGATCTTTAAAGGGTGGATGGTCTCTGAAGTGCCCTCTTCCAGATTGGACACGGGACATTTGCAGATATCATCTTTCATTACAGAAACTTGGGGGAGCCTCATTGGAGCTTTTGATTTGGATTTGATGTGCTTTGGTTGGCCCGTTTTCAAAGCTCCACTGAGTAACACAAGATTACAGCGGGGCGCCTCATGCCTCTGGACATCAGTAAATTGGCCAAACTAAAGAAAGACGTTGACTTTGTGCGAGATGGTAATAGATTCATTACACTGTGAATGTGATCCCAATCTCTTTCACTGTGTACACTTTGTGATCGGCTTGTTTGAAATTTGTATATCCCATTTGCTATTCACATATTTTTAATCAGTTGTATTCTTTTGGTTTTGCTATTTTAAGCCTATTTCAAAGATTACTAAGGTGAAGCATCAGCAAATGTTGTTAAAAATACACTTTCTTTGTCAACTAGAGCAATAATCACTATTGAATTTGATTAATTGTGCAGCCCAAAGTCAGTACGTAGATAGATAAATAGATAATACTAATAATATTATCCTGAAGAAAATTCATTTTTCTCGAACCAGGACCTTGGATTATTAGGTAATGGTAGGTTAATGGGGAAACTGGAATAACTGGACTCTGGCAAGCACAGGAATATAACATATTGTACATGTATAGGGCAAAATGGCTACAGGTTTTAATCTTCAATTGACCAGGAAAATGCATTTATATCTGTTATCAAATTGTACATAAAAACCCAATGTCTTAGTGAACTCACCACTAATCAGTTGAATAAAATTAGAAAGTGTTTGGGTTTTAATCTAGTTTTATTTATAGATGCACTGAATTGATAGCAGTGACAACCCAGTTCCTACTATTGGTGTTCAAAGTCTCCACCCGTCATCATGCTCCACTACGTCGCATCTTTAATGTGTCAAGCTCAAAATAGAACTAGTTCCAAAAATAGGGCAGGAAAAGGAGTCCAACACTACAGATCTGATTGGCTGAGAGATTATAATCTTCTTTATCCGAACGACACCTGTTTTGGATGCACTTGTTTTGAAATTCTCTGCCAAAGTGAACAATGAAGAGCAAGCAAATAAGCTCTGCAGTATGCCAATATTTGTCTTTGTTCACATGAAGAGCTTGTATTAGTTTGATCTAAAGTGAAATGGATATGGTGGATCATGGAGCACAACAGTGACCCATCCCATCCCCTGGTTCTGGAATTAAATTGCTCATAGACCTTCCAAAAAAAACCAACAACTAATGACCACAATAGCTACATGTTTTTTGAAACTTTATAAACCGCTAAGTTATTTAAAAAGTCAGAATCCTGTGTTTAAAACATTCTTTGGGGTCAAAATAGCTGCATTATTGATATTATTCACCACATAGCTGGTTAGCCACTTTAATATTTGAATTTTTTTGAAAGTTTATGGGAAAATGAAATGGAAAATTTACTTTTGGAATCAGACATGTTTACAAAAAATAAAGACCCTCTACACGAACTATGAGAGCCCCATCCACTTTTCTCTTTCTCTGTTGAACCATGTCTGAAAGAGTCACCGACAGTTGTTCCAAAATCATTAACATTTCTGATTTCATCCATTTAAAATATGTAGGCCATCATTCAATCTATTTTTTTCCCCACAAATGGCTTCGTTTACAATATACTTTTTTTCATAATTTTCTTTTTCATATTTTTATACTTTTCTTTTTTTTTTTTTATTGAACTATAGCAATATCAGTTTTCCCAGTTTCTTGATAGATTTCTATACTCATTTCTCATGTCTCTCAGTCTCTCAGTTAACAACATTTAAGAAGTCTATCACATTCTGTTATTCTGTTTAAAATTTGTAGCATCGCATTCATTATCTTCCTTGCTAACTGAAAGGAACCATGTCTTTGTCAGCTACAGTGGAATTCAGGTCGTCCATGGATGGCGGCATGTGCACTCAGGAGCCCCCCCTCAAGTCGTCCATGATTATGCCCGCTAAGAAGTCTGTCACGTTCCCTGGAGACCTGCAGGAACCTCCCGCCAAGCCCCTGCTGTACCACAAACAACCACCAGCTCTGCCACCCAAGCCCTTCACCAGGATCCCCAACCATAGCACAGGTGAGGGATGGATTTTTATATCAGATATGATACTTTAAAGTGAAATTAAATACTAAATCAACTTTTTTACTACTTTGTATGGAGTTTTAATAGTATTGTGTACTTTTAGCAATTTTAGTGCAACCTAGGAATATTTGCACATTTCAAAACAGTCAAAAAGTCAGCTTCCTTTGGTGGCCACTATAATTTCAAGTACTATATGACATCACACAGAACTGCCCTGATTACATCCAGGGCTTCTTGATCACAAACATCTGGCTCAAGTGTGGATACCTGTTAAACCAATCACACTGTTCCTTATACCCCGAGACCCTGCCCCTTCTCCCCAATTCACTCTTTGATTTAGTCCTTCAGGTACTGCTCAGTTTAGCAGCTCCATTTGAAATGTGGTTGTGGGAGGAGTTTAGTTGTTTAGTCCCTCTTTAAGTTAACCTGGATCAACCCTCTTAGTTATATTTAAAATGACTGATACATGTTTGTGTAATTTTAAGTTTTCCTTTATTTAAGATGCCACTGTTCCAAAATATAAAAATTTTTCCTTACCCCTATATATACCTAGCCAGGCTGGCACCACCTAGTGCCTCCGCTCAGTGTCATTTCTCTCCAGCAACTAGGTCAGGAATCAAAATACAATAGACAGTTCGCAAAAACCCCGGAAGTGCAAGTTCGGGCACCAGCCAATCAGTGAAGAGGCATATATTCAGTGTTGTCAACGATTCCCGAGATCGAGGATTTAAAGCCGGAACAAAGAGAATGTTTGGTGAATTTGATCAAGGGGAAAGACGTTATTGCCCTTCTTCCTACGGGATTTGGGAAAAGCTTAATATACCAGTTAGCCCCATTAGCGGTGCATTACATACGTGACTATGAAATAGCAGCGATTGGTTAAATGATAAAAAGTACCCACCTACCGTCGAGCGAACGAAATCTAAGGCTGCGAGGTCAGACGGTTTGTACGAAGTGAAACAAAGTAAAACCGGCTTATGAATCAGGCTAATATATACTCACTTCTCTGTACTATCTTTGGTCTAAGTTCTAATATACCCATAGATGGGATAGTCGGCATGATCTGGCAGAGTGACTCTTTGTTGTGATATTTACACTGACGTACCATAAAGGAGCAGACGAAAATCATTGCCTCAGTTTTGAACCAACAGGCAGTGGAGCTGTTTCTTAGTTTAAATATATATAGTGATTTAAATATCTAAAATATAATCTATGACGCACATGAATCATTCTTTTATAACACTATAGCAGACAAAAGCGTAATGCATTCTTTAGTTGTCATTTGATTGAACATCCATCCGATCCACTGTTAAAGAATAGTTTCAATGCCTCAAACATCTCCACGAATCACTGATGAATCACAACAGAAGTTGGCTGGAACCCGGTCCATTGTCTGAGAATACAATATACAGATTTAATGGGTAACAAAATGGATATATCGATTTAAAAAAACATTATTGTATAAATGACCCAAGCTTAAAGGTCCTATACCTGATGTATTTGAGCAAAGTGGGATACAGGTATATTGTATAAGCAGCTCAGAGGCCAAAATAAGTCTGCCGTGCTTTGTCTGCATCAAATTATAAATCATTTTGTTTTCTGAGAGCTGGGAAAGTGCTCATAAACTTATCATGGTGAATAATTAGGATGTTCAGAATGCATGAGGTAAGTGAGAAATTGGCTAGTTCTGTTTTCCACATTTTTAAGACAGTAAAAATCAGGTACAGCGCCTTTTTAAGTTAGTTCTTTCGTTTACAGACAAGATTTATTTTCCCATGCATGCTTATCTTAGATGACTTTCACATTCTGTCTAGTGTCTACACCTGCGTACCAACACATGTGCAGCGGATTACTGTAGTCTCATTAAATTCCCCTAAGGTCCGCCCTCCAAGCTGCCTGTCACTCTCAATCTGTCTGTGAGAGAAGTGGCATTACCCTGGCCTCAATCCAGCTCAATCCAGCCACTGTCTCTGCTGAGGTCTGAGCCCCTCTCATCAGATCTGTCCAGTGTGGAGACAGCTCTGAGGCTTGGAGACAGTGAGGTTGAAGGTCTAGGCTTATGTTGGTTTGTAGTAGTAGCTTGTGTGTAGGTTTTAGCCCTAGTAATGAAATGCTAAAATGTTTTGTTTTTACCCCATAATATAAAAAGATACTGCATATTTTTTTTATATGATCCAAAGTCTAGGCATCAGAAGCACTATTTCTTTAGTTTAAGGATTAAACACTTTAGCCAAATCTTTAATAATCTAGAGATATTTTGTTTGACAAGGCCATCGGCATTCGTTTAATTAGCACAGAACAATATTTAGAATTAATTCAGTCACAGTTTATTACCTTTAGTGCGTGGGTGCAGGAACATACTTTCAGTTACTTCTTCACTGGCTGACTATTTGAATTTCCTTCAGGATCAATAAAGCATCTATCCATCTATTTTTTGTTTGAACAATATAATGAATGTTGGCCTTCGTACAGTGGTACTTCTTGTACTCAGGCTAGTTTTCTATAACGTGACTGTACCTTTTTTTTTCCTTTTCCTTATAGTTGAGAAAAATTGGTTCTGCCCTAGCACAGATGTACTGTAGAAGCAGGCGCTGATGTCAAAATGAAACAGCTGTGTACTGTCTGCATCGTATTATAGTTATATTAAGTGTTTTGCTGTCCAAGATTCAGGAAGTGCCCTATTAACATGTTACTTATTATTAGCTTTATCATGACAGCCAGACTTTGCTCAGAAAGTTTTGAAAAGTGCTTATAAACTCATTGTGGTGAATAAATAGGATGCTCAGGATGCATAAGTTGTGTGAGGAATCTGCATTTTGGTTCTGTTTTCTTACATTTTTAAGTAAATATCAGTTTAGTTGTGAAGCAAAAACAAAAAAATTCATTTGAAAAGCCAAAGGTGAATAATATAGGTTTAATTTGTGTGTTGTTAATATAAAAATTTTACCATTCACTTTTTGTCTTTCAGATTCTTGCCAGCTGAAGTTACCCAATAAGCACTCTCCACCCTTACCCCCGAAGAAAGTGATGATCTGCGTGCCTCAGGGGTGCCATGACTCCTCCCCCTCCCCCACACCCAACCCGCCGAGCACCCACTCCCAAAGGTGCACCCCCCCTCAGGTCTTAACCTCCCTCCACGGCCCACCCTTCCTGCCCTCTCAGCTCCTGGGGCTGTCGGCGCTACACCACCCGCTCCAGTTACAGTACGGCAGTCTGCACACGCCCAGTCGCATCATTGAGGAGCTCAATAAAACCCTGGCGCTGTCCATGCAGAGGTTTGAGAGGTCAGTGGACTTGGAATAACTACATGGAATAACTGACAGATGGGTGGGTGCATGCAGGGTGATCGATGTCTAATTTTGGTTACAGCTAAAATCATTGGTTTTATTTTTAGTTGGGTCAATAAGTCTGACACTTTAGGCTGCAGAAAGACTGTGTGTTTGAATGTAGACTAGATTATGAAATTTATATTAATGAAAAGTAACTATGGATGTAATAATGTAAATAAATTTAGGTTCAGTTTTAAATGAATAATTTAATAATAATAATTTAAAAAGATGCACTGCACAATTTACATGATGCTATTGCTTTGCCTGAGATGTTCCACTGTAGGGCATAATTACCTCCGCCAAGGAGGTTATGTTTTTGCCGGCGTTTGTCTGTTTGTTTGTTTGTTTGTTTGTCTGTTAGCAACATAACTCAAAAAATTATGGACCGATTTTGATGAAATTTTCAGGATTTGTTGGAAATGTGAAAAGGAAGAACTGATTTCATTTTGGGGGTGATCTGGAAGAAATCCTGGATTCTGGATCACTTTGAAATTTTAGTTAACATTGTGGTAAATGGGGCCAAAAATTTTGTTTCTCAATATCTCAGTTAATTATTGACCAAACCCCATGAAATTTGACTCAGGGATGGACAATGGGATCCTCTTTCATATTCCAAAGGCTGATCCGGATCTGATCCAGAAGACTGATTTTATTGCAATTTATATAAAAAATGGGGGTAGTCCTTGGCGGAGGTCTGCGCTCTCTGAGTGCTTTTCTAGTTTATATATTTTTTCTTACATGTCTTACTATTGCTTTAAAATATATACTACAGGATTGCTCAAAAACACTAGTGACTTACCTGAAAAGGCACACAGTGCACCTTTAAATTTAACCTTCTGTAATCAGCTTTTTCTATTTATTAAAAGTAAAACCTGTAAATTTATTAAAAGTAAAACCAGATAAGAATGATAGTGTTGCAATGCATGGTTTAGGAACAGCAAGAGAGTAGAAATAAGCAATCAAACATCAAGATGGATAAATATTAGGAAATAAACACCACTGCAAATATTTTGATCTACTGGTAAGTACAGCGAACTAGGATCTTCAGTATCAGTGCAGCTATGCAACGTGTACAAATAACTGTTGGTTAATGCTAAATCTAACTGATTTTTAAACATTACAGTGGTTGTACCTGATGTTTTATTGAGACATTTTAGAGACAATATTGCAGGACTCACCACACGATTGCAGTGAAGATTATTTTTAATCTCTTAGCCAACTCCCATTTATTGTTATTTGATATTACAAGTGTTCTATGTCTGATAAGGATTTAGAGTTCGGTCACCACTCCCTCTGTCTCAGACCAAACTCAAAGCTTTGCTCATTGATCCTGCATGATATCTGCCATGTTATTTTATAACTCGTTGTTTTATACTTCTCTGATTGGCTAATGCATCTGTCAGCTTGGGGCCTGTCCTTTTATTCATGGGTTTAAGACAATTTTCTTTTCACTATTTAATATGTATATTTTGTTTGTATTGTTAATTGTTAATGCAACGGCCCCATTTTTAAAAACTTTACATATACCCACGGTCTTTGCGTAGAAAAAGAAAAGTGTCTTGACTGACCATGTAACTATGGTTGAGAAATAATAGTTTTTTTGAAAAAGTAAACTTTGATTGTCTTATTAATTGTGCATAAATCAGTTATTCAGGCAATGTTGTATGTATCTTTTTGACCAAATTCAATGCACTTACTATTACCTTAAGGAATCACTCATGATAGTAATGAATCATAATGAACCCACCTTGATTAGTTTGGTGGAGGTGACGTACTGTAGATGCTAGGAGTCACTTTCTGTTATTATTGAGGTCGCAGCCGGCTCTGTCACGCTGTGCACAGGTTTAAACCAGAGCGCTGTCACTCTCTCAGGGCTCCGTGGCCTCATTCACAACTGGAGTATTTGTGGGACAGTGCTGTGTTTGGCCTGACATAACATCACCAGCTGCACTCGGCTCCTTCTTATTGCCGAAAAGGGGCAGGGGATTGGGTATTATGCAACAATCCACATTCGGATGGCTGTTTTCTCCGGAGCCATTTGGATGGGGATAAGGAAGTAATGGCCCCAACTTTGGATACAATTATTCTAAAAGCTTGTGCTTATGCAACTCTGGCAGGAAGTACGGCGAGGCTGTGATGAATCAATCTGTCAAATGTGTCACCAGTTTACCATTTCTACATGAAAGAGCTGCAGCAGGCCTCAGGGTGTTTGGGTGTATAAAATGTATTTAGTTTGAATCCATGTGCACCCAAATATCTGGAATTAAAGAGCCTATGTTGCTCTATTTTTTGAGTTATGTTATAATGTTTTCTCATCACAAACATACCTGGAGTTGTGGTTTGTTTCATTCACGCTTGTATAACACACAAAGCAGCATATTATTTAGGCTGACACTTAATGCAAGAAGTGCTCCACTGGGTTTTTAAAATCCATACATCTTCAATTGAATCACTTGGTTGATTTTGGCCATGGAATGTGTACTAAACAAAAGGTAAAAGGTAGCTGTTAACTTAAAATCTAGCACTACATGTTATTACTCGGTGGAAGGGAGCAATTTGAGCTTTGAAAATAAAGGCTTCCTCAAACATGTGTGAATGAAACAAAACTCAACTCCAGGTATGTTTTTGAGGAGGTAACAGCATTATTACTCTGCTTTAAGCTCACAAGAATCTATTTTGAGTAATATAAGACCTTTAAAGGTTATATACCTGTGGTTTTCTTAAATTCAGTATAGCACAATTCTCATCTACAGTATATGTGCTGACAGAAATGTGTGCATTGTATGGTTGGCAGTTGTAATGTTGAGTTATTTAGAATACCTATATTGTGTAAGTTTTGTTTACATTTTGGTGTCTCGTGCTAATTATGCCATCAAAACAATAGAATGATCTCCTCGCTACTAAACCAGAGCAACTGACTTTTAATCTACTTAAATTTGTTATTCTAAGATCAAGATTCATCTTAGTCTTAGAATACTGAGAAATGACTGACTGTAGCATTTTGGGCACTTATGTATTTACTGTTATACAGTTTATTTACTCACCGTTCAAATAATATAAATACCGAACGTCTACTTAAACTTAAATTGTCAAATAGTGGTAAAACTTCAGCCTATGACTTAATATTTTCAAACTTATTTTAAAGGTGCATTGTGTTGCTTTTAGGGTAGAAGGTCCGCCACTTGCTCGTCTCCATGGAGATGGTATCAAACATCTCCAAGTGTGGCCGTAAACATACCTGTCTTCCATTCATTCAGTTATTGCTCAAAAAACATGCACACCTACAGTCAGCAGACCATCATCTACACAGATCTGACCTGTTTCTAGGTCTGGCGGTCCTGTTTGTTTCCATGGAGATAAATAAGTTTAATACCATACTGTGAAACATTCCAAGCAAAGCAATTACAACGTCATGAAGACAAAAAAATGTAGACAGACCCTCCGCTAGAAAAGTTACACAGAGCACCATTCATGTTTTTACAAAGATGTATATAATAATACATCTCATACAAAAATGTAACTCTCCTCACCTAAATCCATGTGTTTGTGTGTTCCAGCTCCGCCTTGCACAGCAGCAGCCAGTGTGCCCCTCTGGACCGGAGAGAAGTGCCCTCCGTCATTATCGACTATGAGGAGGACAAGGAGAACCTGCCCAACGAGTCCGACTACGAGGACCTGCCCAGCATGTACAAGGACGAGCACGGCGTGGACGATGACGAGGATGATGATGAAGATGACGACTCCATATTTACAAGTCAGTGTATCAGCTTGGAAATTCATGGTCACAATGTCGGCTGCATTAGTTCCCTGAGGTCAGCTCCCAGTAGCATTAGAAATGACGCAGCTCTGTGGGGGCGAGTGTCTTTAACAACCTTGCTCCGGATTGGCTCTTTGGTTGCGCACTTTCCAAATATGGATCTTGGTTCAAATTAGCTGTTATAACACCTAGCCTCAGTTGCTGGGTTTCAGATGACATCACAACATTCTCGGAGCCAATAATATTTAATACAGCTGGGGGGGCAGGTAAAATAAATATGGTTAAAATGCAGATTTCTGTCATATTACAGTGAGTCTTGTCACAAATAAAAATGATCAGGTTCAACATTTGTGCATTTACCTTTTGTATATTTCTCATGAAAATACAATGTAATCAGAATGGAAAACTGCCCCCCATCTGAGAGAATGACCTAATCACTTTCCGGAAGCTCAAAACCACCAATTGGCTTTATTTGGGTGCAACTAAATGCTAAAAGTGACACTCCCTCAGTCCACTTCCATATACATATCTATGGTTGCGAATGACTGGCTGAAATTCTCACCACCCACTAACCAGAAGGTTTGCAGTTCTATCCTTGCTACCAATCCTTGAACAAGAAGCAATGTGAAGCAATGAGGGACTTAAAATGAGTCAAGTCTACACTAAATACTTTATTCATCCACAAGGGAAATATTTTGTAATAAGGGGAAAAAACATATATATAAATGATAATAATAAGTTCCAGACAAGTAGCAAAAATAGCAAGAGACTAATATGGCATAATTATATAAATGCATATGTGCTAGAAAAAATAAGATAAAATAGAAAGAGAAACAAGTAATAGAAATATCTCAGCAATATACGAAGACTACATAACTACAATAACACAAGCAAATCAATATTTTCTTGTTCCTAATACACTAAAAATAATAGTAATTGTATGTTATATGACATTGTCAACCGACCTAATTTCAATACCTGTAAAAAAGGAGGTACTTATTTAAAACTTGTGTTGTTTCTTCAGGTTCTCTGGCTCAGAAGGTGCTGAGAAAAGACTCCCTGGCCATCAAACTGAGTAACCGGCCATCCAAACGTGAGCTGGAGGAGAAGAACATCCTCCCCATGCAAACAGACGAGGAGCGGCTGGAGTCCAGACAGCAGATCGGCACCAAACTCACACGGTAATCTCCTTTAAGACCCCATGACCTCACGCGGTGCACCCTTTTAAACTGGAATATAAATAAATTAATCCATAAATTCGCTACTAAAACTGTGTATATGGGGTTGTAATAGTTGATGTGCTATACTAAGCTGGGAGTAAGAGCCAGCATAGCACAGAAAACAAAAGCATTTTCTACTGTTCCAGGTCATTTTTGTCAACTTTAGTGTGGATACGTGTTAGACCAATCACAGTGTTCCATATACCCCCCTCATTTTTTTTCTTCAGTCCTCTAGGTAGTGCCCAGTTTAGCAGCTCTATCTGAAATGTGGTTGTGAACTTTAGGTGTTTAGTCCCACTTTAAGAGCCCTTGACATCATGCTGTAAACCCCTTTAAGAGCGTATGCATTTTTCAGAACCCCAGCTCTTATGCAACACACATGCAAGATTTACATGTGCATTTTACCTCCCGCTTTTGACTGACCATTTGAGGCAAATAGCAGAAAACATGTATTCTAGAAATGTCACAATATACAATACAAAACATATTCACTTCTAATTTTGACAAGATGTGGCCTGATTATGCACAAGAAAAAACAATGCACTGCCCCTAAATGGATACAAGCCTGATGAAATAGGCTCTGTTCACGCTTACGTCACAAACCAGGAAGACATTTGGAAAGATGCGATTACAACTTCCTGTGTAGTTCCCGACAATGGGCTCACTTACCGACTGTGATAAAACTAATTGAAGTAAATGTGATCAGCGGTAAAATGAAGACTGCATATGTATGTGCTGCTTGGAATCATCTTGAATTTGGCACCCTCATCTCTTCTAATTGTTGTGCGTCAGTGGGGAAATTGTGAAAACTGAGGTATGGTTGTAATTGTTGATTAGCCGAACATAATGGAACGCTAAAATCGACATTTAGATGAAGAAAACTGGGCCTGGGAAGTCGTAATCGTGTGTTTCCAAACATCTTCCTGGTTTGTGAAGTAAAAGTTTTTGGCATTGCTATTTGCTAATTGCATATAGATTTCATAAAAAGGGCTATAGATGTATTATATTCAAAATATTAATTTGGCTGCAGAGCTTGCCCCACTGGTAAACAGCTTCTTTTGTACATATTGACAAGTTTGTGAAAATATAAAGTTAGCGTTAAGGTACGCTGATTTACTGATGGTAGATAGTCTGATTCATCAGCATCAGTTTCAGACCTCGCAGTGTTAGAATTCGTTCGCTTGACGGTAGGCGGGTACTTTTTTTTTAATATAACCAATCACTACTATTTGGTCAATAACCTCTTTCCCCTTGATAAAATTCACCAAACATTCTCTTTATTCTGGCTTTAAATCCTCGATTTTGGGAATAGTTGCCAACACAGAATGTATGACTCAAAAAAGCGCTATATAAAACTAATGCATTATTATTAGAAAAACCCAAGTGGTGAATCTGGGACCTTCTTGCTGTGAGATGAGTCCAAGCTACTCAGCCACTCCATAAAACTAAAGCAAATGAACACAGCTCATATTCAAATGTGTATACGGGATAAAAAAGCCTTTACACTTACATGTGAATCACATTTTTCTTGCCAACCCAGTGCTTGTTGCTATGGGCTTGCAGTAACTATACCAGAGCATGGACCTGTATCTGTAGTTCCTGCGCAATCTCTAAAAAAATATTTAGTCACTTTAATACCCTTTCATTTCGTGGCTTCTGAGGGATGATGATATACGCCTTATCTGTACCAAAGTGAGGCTTTGAAAATGGAGCTGACCTAATTTCTTCTTTTTCCAACTCTTTCTCTCCTCGTCTCTTTTCCTTCTCCTGTCTCCTCTCTCGTGCGCCGTTTCTCTCACTCTTTACTTCCTCCCTCGCTCATTGAATCACCACAGCGATGGCTCTTGTGCCAAACTCTCTCTCTCCGTTTCTCCTCCACACAGCACCACGCACAACATCTCATACAAACAGCTAGCAAACACATTGACGCAGATCATGCAAGTCACCGTGCATTCACAATATACAAATACTAAAATGACAACAAATCAGTGTATCATCACTGCCAGTCCAAGCGATAATACTGCAGTAACTTCAAGTAGAGCATCTGATGTAAAACCCATCCTGAATCAATCACACAGACGAGGATAATTTGCTCTAAAATCAGTAAGATGTTTTAATTGACAGTCTCAAATGACAAGATGTTTTCCTGGTAGATTACAAACCCCATTTTGTTTTATGCAGTTTTGCCTGAAGTGGATGCAAAGACGTGCCAAACGAAAGGGAAGCAAAACAAACCAAGATAAAATGGACGTCAGACATGTTTGTGATATCTCAGTAAAGCTGTTTTTAAGGGGAAGATAAGGGATATTTACAAGAGACATTGGCAGACAGCGTGCTATTCCCAACTGTGCTTCCAGAAGGCTGGTTTGGTTGTCATGCGTCCGAAAAAAGCTCTCCCTCTCTCTCTTAGTTTCTCTACCTCACTCTCTTGCTGTGTCCTCCTTATCTCCTCCTATCTCTTCATCTCTCTGTTCTCTTCCCTACTGTTACTTTGCAGCTGATGTGTGATGCTAACTGGAGGCTTTGCTCTGTCTGAAGCTCTGGGGCTCAAGATGAAGTTTATCTGGGCTTTGTTTTAACACACAGTTTTGTTGAAAATGAAACTCCGGGACATACAAAAATACAGAATGGATTCAGACTATCTTAAAACTTTTTTTGGCAGTGCTTCCATGTGTGCATTGTGTCACCATGGTAACTGCTGAACATTCCCTCATAGAGATACATGTAGAACACCGCCACATTGATGTCACTGCAAAGTATCAGTTCTCTCCTCACATCTCTCTAATGTCTCTCTCTATCCTTACCTCTCTCTCATCACCTCTCTTTGTCTCTCCCTCACTCTTTCCACTTTTCTCTCTCTCCTTATCTCACCATTATCTTTCGCTCTTGCTGTGTCCTTCGCCCGTTTTTTGTTCCAATCCCTTTCTCAATTTCACGCTTTTAAGAAAACGTCTTAGTGACACAAATTGACTCCTTAATCCAAATGAAATCTTCAAACTTAGAGTTACTGTAGTTCTGGTTTTTAAGCTCAGAACAGTCGATACTGTGTGGAAATCAGGACATGCATTTAAGGACAGTTTCAGGGGTTATTTTGGGTAGCTTAGTTATGCAGTTTCACTTTACAGCATAGTTCATTGTTGGGAGAAAAGATAACTCTCATTTGAGGTGCCAGTCACTACAATAGGCTCTGTTCACGCTTACGTCACAAACCAGGAAGACATTTGGGAAGATGCAATTACAACGTCCGGTGTAGTTACCGACAATGGGCTCGCCTAACATGGATCTATTAAAACCGACAGTGATAAAACCCATTGAAGTAAATGTGATCAGCGGTAAAATGAAGACTGCATACGTATGTGCTGTTTGGAATCATCTTGAATTTGGCACCTCATCTCTTTTAATTGTTGTGCGTCAGTGAGGAAATGATGGTCAAAACTGAGGTATGGTTATAATTGTTGATTAACTGAACAACAACGGAACACCAGAATGACATGTAGATGAAGAAAGCTGGGCCTAGGAAGCTGTAATTGCATGTTTCCAAACGTCTTCCTGATTTGTAACGTAAGTGTGAATAGAGTCTATTAAATCCAGTAGGTTTAAACCTAATAGGCCTCTCTCTGAGCCAAATTCTCACTCCTTAAACCCCAGCACCTATAGCCAATCTTTAACCAGTGCTAGTGCAGTCTCCGTGAGTGAATTCTGGAGGTTCTGAGCTTTCACATGAGGCATGGCCTGTCCTTATACTGAGAATTAAAAAAAAAGTACCTGTCCTCTCAGGTTTAAGCACTGGGCACCCAGGTTGAGCTGCGATTGTAGTCCTTTTGTAAAATAGTAAGAGTGCAGCCTACAAAAACTACCTTTATAAAAAAATTACAATAATTATTTGTATAAAACTGTAAGGGGCAATGGTTCTGTTTGATATGCCAGTTAAATACATTAAAATTAAGATGAAAAAATTGCTTGTATGGAACTGTGAGAAATGGCTTTATAGGACTACAAATGTACCTAATTATTGTAACCCAGGAAGTAAGAAGCTGAAAACTAAGGAAGCACATGATCAGTTTTGATAAGGATTTCACATACCATACCATTCATCATATTATTTTAAGCCCATGTACAGTACAGTAAACCACTATACACTCTGAGATAGTACGTCCAAGAATAAACCCACAAGGAAGCACTGTGAGCAGAAGATAAAATGCAACATGGCGTTTAGAATCCAGCCGTAGCGTCACCGGGCCCAGTCTCAGTAGATCCCTATCAGAGCTAACAAGATGGAGACAGCCATTGATTCAGTGATTAGTTCTCCTGCCCCAGGCTCCTGCTCAGCTGCTATAATAAGAGGTTCCCGACTGAAAGCACTCACATTGACCCTATCCAAAATGGCCTCCGGGCGTCTTCACTTCTTCAGCCGCTCACAGACAGAAGGAAATTGGAGATAATCTTTAGAAAACAGATTTGGAGGGAGATGTGCTGATGGCCGCCTGCCTTCAAGCATGTTCCTTTTGTTTTATTTGTGTTGTCTTTAAGACTGTTGACAGGACTACATGAGGAGGGCGTATGGGCAGTCTGTCAAGGCTGTTGGCAAGTTAAAATTTAGACTATAAAGGTGTAATGCAGTACTAAGAATTAGGCTTGTTGAAATGATTATTGGTAGTGATGTTTTTCTTCAGTATCTCTTGTTGAAAAGTCTAACCATAACCTTAAAATTACACTCTGTTATCGAAAAATGTGTTTTGTGAAGCCTATCTCTGAATAATGAAAATCTGATTGAAAATTCAGTATCTTGTTGTATTCTAGTCAGCAATTATTATGATTTATTTATTTATTTGACCATGCGAATTAGTATTTTAATTGTACTTCGGTGATCTATTTCCCAAGGATTCAACTTCAAGTATTTTTCAGTATTTTTGATTAAATATGTCTGTATATCTTTCCTCTCTTACTTTTATGAAATAATAGCATTGTCTTTGTGTCTTTTTTTTTTTTTTTCCACAAATAGCACATCTGTTTATACTCCACATAATGATGAACAATTATTAAAATGGTCAACAATTATCTGTTAAGCAGTGCTATTGTAATTACTCACCACAGCCCTAAATATATGACAACACTACCAATAATATACATGTAACATTTAGGGAACAATAGCATCAAAATTATAGTATGGTGGCTGAGTGGCTAACACTGGCTTTGATCCTTGGGTCTCTCTCCTTATGGGTTCTCCCTGCGTCTGGGTGGGTTTCCTCCAGTGGTAGATAAAGTTCTCAATTTTGTTAATTAAGTACAAGTAAAAGTACAGATACAAGGGCAAAAAGTTACTCAAGTAATAGTATTAAAGTACCTATTTAAAAAATTTACTTAAAGAGTAAAAAGTATCTTGCACAGAATTTAAAGATGAAATGTAATAATTTTAATAAAGAATTTAGCTGTTTTTAAGTGACTCAATTGACTTCTTATTTTTTCTAGCAGCATTATGTTGCTTAAAATTGAGACAGAAACTCAAATTAAATGTACTAAAAAAATCATTCACTTCAGACGGTTTCAAACCATAAAGAGAAGTACTTTTTACTTTTCAGTCCAGATCTAAAATGTACTGGAGTAGAAAGTACAGATACCTGCTCTCAAATGTAGTGAAGCCAAAGTAAATGTATCTATTGTAAAATTTACTTAAGTAAGGTACAGATATCTAAAATTGTGTTGTAAGTATTGTACTTTTTCTTTTGTACTTCATTACCTTCCACCATTGAATTCCTCTGGGCACTTCGGTTTCTCTCATCAACCCAAAACATGCACAATAGATAAAAATCCTCCCGCTAAGCAATCCAAGCAATAAGATCATGGAGATGGGCCCCAGTGGGATTCAAGGATGGGTCAAATGCAGAGGACAAATTTCCCTACAGGGACAATAAAAAGTACTTTAACCTTATTATATAAAGGTTATGTAAGTTTTGAATAATGTAAGAAAATCACCTTGCAGGGGTTACAGTAAAGTTAATATTGGGGAAAAGATGAGAAGGGAGAACAAATTTAAACTTTTCCATTTACTCAGCTTCTTTTTCTCCAAAAGCGTGCACAAAGGCAAACCCTGATAAAGCCCTGTCAGGAGGTTATGTTAAAGTGGAGGGTGAATTTTAATGTGTGCGTGTGTGCGTGTGTGCGTGTGCATGTGTGTGTGTTGCTTCTAGGCGCCTGAGCCAGAGACCAACGGCAGAAGAACTGGAGCAGAGGAACATTCTCAAACGTGAGTAAAAAAAAATTGAACCCTGCAATGGAAAAAAAACCAAAAAACAATATATGATCACTTACATATGATTATAAATTATATCCAGACTGATCATCTAACTGTTGCACAACACATGCATAAAGTTAGAATCTAATAAAAATCTTGCAGACCATCCCCATGAGATCACCTCATTTCTCCAGAGCGTGTGATTGGTCAAAACATGTCCTCCCCTAGTTCCTCCTCTGTCTAAAACACGATTCAAGCCTTAAGGAATTTAATAGACTTGTTTTAAATGAGGACTAGTTAAAATTGCTGTGCTTTGTTGAATATTGCAACAACAATAATTTTTCAATGTAAATATTCCTTTTGACATTTGTAACTTAAAATAGCGTAATATAGACTAGTTTTATGTTATAATGTTGTTTCCTCATCACAAACATACCTGGACTTGTGTTTTGTTTCATTCAAACATGTTTGAGAATCCCTTTATTAATTGTCTGTTTACAACTCCAAAGCTCAAATTGCCCTGTTCCACCGTGAGATGTCATGAAGCTGTAGTTTTCAGCTACATTTTACCTTTAGTTCAGTACAAATTGAAAATTCCAGGGCTGACATTATCCAGGGCTGACATTATCCAAATTATTCTGGTGAAGGAGTACGGAGTTTAAAAACACAGCGGAGCACTCCTTGTACTGCCGCATAACATCACAAGTAAGAACAGAGTGTTTTCAGTTTGAGAGAAGAACTCAGTCTAAATATGCAAGATTTGTGTGTTAAACATGTGTGAATGAAACAAAACACAATTCTAGGTTTTTGATGAGTAAAATCCGTTATAACATAGATCAGAAAACAACACAAGGTGGGCTCTTTTAACATAAATTTGCTAAAAATCTGTGCAACAAAGTATCTGGCCTGACCATAGCATATTTAACATGCCTGGTGCGTTAGTTTAACTCGCTAATAAATGTACGCCACACTTTTTTAGCCTTTTATCTAAAGACTGCAGTAGTTCTCAGTAGACCCTGGTCCGGGGAGAGTACTTTCACAGAACGGCCTTGCTGACGGCTGCCACATCAAACCTGATTGGCCTGTGCTTTTATATTGTCCCATAGGAGAGGGTTTGATTGGCACTGAGATAACATTACAGCTACAGTGTGGATAGCCATGTCCTCCTTGTCACTTAGAAACACAAGGTTAACATCAATTCAATAACAAGGTTGCACAAGTAGGACATGTTTTTCTTAGTTCTATACAGACAGCGAGGCACGTTTTGACTGTAGCGCTTCATTCAAACAGCTCCTCCAGTATGCCACTTGCTGTTTCTTTCTTCTCTTCTGAATGTTTTGGGACACAGATATACCATGTTTATAGTGGATAAAATGTAGACATGGTACTCTCCCCAGACCACACCAGGGTGTCCAGAGACAGCAGAATGAGCCTCACATGAGTCTCTCCTTTGGGTTGCCAGTTTCAATGCTGAAATCTAGTCTGTTTGAACCTAAACGGACTCTCTCTGATCTGAATCTTCACTACCTAAACTCCAGCAGCCAATCATGAATCAATGCTAGTCCAGACTCTTCAGCTCAGTGAGTAAATTCTGGAGGTTCTGAGCTTTCACATGAGTCATGGCCTGTCCATATACGAAGTGTACCGTATTTTCCGGACTACAAGTTTCTCCGGAGTATAAGTTGCACCAGCCAAAAAATGTGTAATGAAGAAGAAATAAACATATAAGTCGCACCGGACTATAAGTCACACTTTTTGGGGAAATGTATTTTATAAAATCAGAGACCAGGAACTGACATTTCATCTTGAAAGGCAAGTTATAGTAACAACAATAGAACAGAGAACAACAGGCTGAATAGGCATTAATATGTTAACGTAACATATTAATAATTATTCAGATAATTATAGCATAAACAACATAACATAACCAAACTCACTTCTGCGTGACCTCCGGAGATAAACCATAGATGATGTATGATGTAAACAGTGCGCTGCTTCCTCTTCTGCGTAGTTGTCGTCACACTCAGCATCAGTTCTAGTTAGAATTATTCCGGCCTTTGGTTGTCATTGAAGTTCAGGCTTTGTCGATTCATCCAGTGACTCCCAGGAAAGTTGCATGGTGCACCCGCCCGGTTGCCGTGAAGATGTGTTCTCCCTCCCCGCTTTCCGCCAGTCCCTCACAAGTTTCTCGCTCACTCCAAACTTTCTTTCTGCTGCTCATTTACCATTTTCGGCTGAATATTTCACTATTTGCAGCAAGACAGTGACTTTTTCTACAGGAGACATGCGCAGCAGAGTGCAAAGTGACAGTGGTACAGGAGTAATAGTAGTGCTAGATACTGACACACAAGCCTAGAGCGCCCTCTCACGGCTGTCAGTCTGAAAATTTTAATATATAAGTCACACCTGAATATAAATCGCAGGACCACCCAAACCATGAAAAAAGTGCCACTTATAGTCTGAGAAGTATGGTATGTGTCCTCTATATGCAGGTTAGGCAGTGGTAATCTAGGTTCAGTTGTGATTGTACTTCCTTTAAAAAAAAAAAAAAAGAGCACAGGCTAAAAACCTCTTTCTAGCTATTCCAAAACGACACTACACAGTCTTAAACATGTAACAAAATGCTTCAGAATGATATGAGAGAATACTCCTCCCTTGAGACCTATTCCTTAAAGACTTGTAAACAGACGAATATGTAACGCACGAAGGAAACATTTTACTACATCTGTTGACTGCTAATGAGACGTGTTATGTAAATGCAGTGTTCCCTTAAGTCATGTTTGAATAATTTCTGTGTTTTTTTTTTCCTTTTTTTTCGTTTTCATGCAGCTCGCAATGAACAGGAGGAGATGGAGGAGAAGCGAGAAATCAAGCGGCGATTAACGCGAAAGGTGAGTATAAAAGTCCTGGGCTTGTACACTTGATATGACTTTAACATTTAGCATTTTCCTTTTTTCTCCACATAAATTAAAAAAGAAGATGTTTTCAAGTAATTTCTCTTGTGAAAGTTTGTCCAAGTCTAGTCAAAATCTAGTTAAATTTTTTTTTTTTGTTTATAAAAAATATAAGTTTATAATTTTACTTCCTTGTTGGACACGGACACCATACATAGAGATAATTGCAGTTCTGTTATCTAGCCTGTAATGTTGACAAAGGCCACAAGTTGTGTTAATTGCAGAATATAATAATTAAGATTGGACAATAAAAATAAATCATACATTTATTTAGTTAAATAAGGGCTTATATTGTTAAAAAAAATTAACATCCTTGCTCTTAAATTGTGGCAGTTTGGATGTAATTTTCTGTGTGACATAAGTAGAGGTATAGCGTTTTAGAATTCAGCTCCACTTCTTGCATTTATGTACTTTTTTATTCTCAGCCTTTTTTCCCACAAACTGCCACTTAACTGATAAACAAAGTAAAACTACAATAAATATTTACTACATGTACTATCCCGTCAAGTGATGGTGAAGTCCAATGCTCTTTAAATACTGGGTAGCCGACACGAGCAGATGCTGTGGAGGTTGTTGGTTTTGTAGTGGGAGGGGGTATAGGCCCTGTTACAGTTACCGCAGGCCTGTAGGGGGCAGTGTCCGTGGGGTGCCGTGCCCTCTTTGCCCTTGGCTCTGTCAGTTAGTTTTCTCGCCAAATGCCTCCACAGCGCAGGCAGTCTGAGCATGTTCCATTGGTTTCTATTATAAAGTCACACGTCCGGCACACCTGTGGACAAGCTGACCAAGCAAAATCTGTAGGTGTGAGCATAAGTTTACGACTACCTACCTGGAGCCTGGATTATTTATAGATCATAAATTAGAAATGAAGCCAAAATTTTAAAAAGGGCATTCTGGGTTCATTAAAAAAATCAGGTAATATATGCGTAAGTATAAAACCATATCAGTTCAAATTGACGAAAATACATAGCCATTTTAATATTTGTAGTTGTTGAAATAGATTAGAAGTATTTAAGTGCAAAAAAAATGCTTTTCCGGCATCATAAAAATGTGGTCATGTCTTAAATGTATTTCTCTACATTTGAAAACAAAATAATAAAATTGTTATAATAATTGTAGTAGTCAGTGTAAATGTACATTGACAAGACGTTTAATCTGTAGAATTTTTTTTATCATTAAGAGTCTTGAAATTCACTAGCTCTCAATATATTAAATATATTATGAATTATGTATGTGTACAGTAAAATGGAAACATGTTTCTTGTGCAAAGCATCTTCATGAATGTCAAACTATTTGGTTTTTTTAAATATTGAATGCTGAATTTGATAGAAGAAACAATTCAGGTCTTTATAATGACTTACACAAGAAAATGGAAGGAAGTGCTTCACTGTGTCAGGAATTGTATACGAAAATGTAAAAATATCAGTTGTTTTATGAGGAAGTGAACATATACTGGGAAATTTTGATTTGTGTGTTGTACTGTTTTTTTAATTTGTACTTATCATACATACTTGAACATATATTGTATAATGCAGTAAATATGGCAGTTGCTATGTCGTTCTACAAGATGTGCACTATAAGGAAAACGTCATAGCTTCTACCTGTGAGATCACCAAGCCTTTTAAACTTCCAACTTTCAACCTCTTCTCCCCATCCCTTCTCCAGCTGAGCCAGAGACCCACAGTGGAGGAGCTCAGACAGGCCAAAATCCTCATCCGCTTCAGTGACTATGTGGAAGTGTCCGACGCCCAGGACTATGACCGCAGAGCTGATAAGCCCTGGACCAGACTCACAGCGGCTGACAAGGTATCAGAACACAGTGTAATCCCAGTAGAAGAACAAGAGCGGTAATGTTAAACCCTGCCCTTTGCTAGTATTGGTACTTGTGACATGTGTGAGTGAAGAAGGGTAAAAAGATTGTATAGTCTTACTTTTAAGATTTTTGACTTTGTATTTGAATTTGCAGTTTTATAGTAATACACATTTGATTTAAAAAAAAAAAAAGTTAAGAACTGTTAGTCAAAGCTGAACTATGCAACTTTTCTTGCAGAATGACCATGCACTACTTGCTTGTTTCTATGGAAGTGTTTGGTTTGACTTGTTTATCTCCATGGAGATGCCAAGTTACAGGTTAGAAATGTTACATAGTGTAACCTTAATTTGCATAAAGAAATAACTACTGACTTTACTGAACCTTCTATCACAAGAAAAGTTGTTCCTTGGACCAAAATGTTGTATATGTTCGGGTATGGGGTCCTTTCATTGAAAAATAATCTCTGAAATGAGTTCATGTGAAAATAGCACTGTTTCAGTGGGAGCTTATAGTTCAAGGTCTTTACTGTTTGAGAGAACACACTGCTGTACCTTGTGATGTCATGTGACAATACAGGAAGTCCTTCACTGTATTTTTAAACTCCATCATCATCTCAGATCTGGAAGTTTTTTTGATCAAATAAGTTTCACAGCTCATCCGAGCTGCTTCTTCAGTTCTGGAAAGATAACTTTTAACCTTAAAACTAACACTACATGATATCACAATGTGAAATAGAACATTTTGAGCTTTGGACATGTAGACAGACTAATAATTACCCAAACATGTGTGAACCAACCAAAACATAACCCCAGGTAACAGCATTCTAACATGGCTGAATGCTCAGAAGAGTCCATTTTGTGTAATATAGGCTCTTTCACCCTGTGTCCAACTTCTACATTTTCAGACATTTTTGGTCAATAGTTTCAAAACAAATCTCCATAACAACCTGAATGTTAGCTTCATTAATATATGCTTATAGTAATGCCATGCACTGTACCATATCATGTAATCCCATAATGAGAACAAGACAGTCACCGTTATGTAAACCTCATCTCCGTGGCAATTTGAATAGTACAGTTAAAATAAGGAGTTTTATTGGAAGGCTGTGTTCTTGAGTCGCTTGTCAGCTGTTTTTAGCCTGGCTGGTAAACATCCCGGGGCTGTCCTGATGTAGTGCTTTACTCTTGGCTTGTGACTTTTAATTAGCCTATTCGTTTGATGTGGTTCTCTGTCCTCCGGTGGAACACAGCCGTACAGGGCCATGCATACCTGTGGACCGCTCATGTGAAAAGCATCAGGTTTTTTTCTTATGCAACAGCCCTTATATAAGACGATAATGAGACAGTCAGGGTTTTGGGACTGTAATGTAAAAATTCTGACCATGAACTTTTTTCATGTCAGCAATGTCAGTTTGAGGAAGAGGCAGTTTTCATCTAAAACAACTTGATAACAGCAACAAATCTATTGACTTCCTCCTTTAAAAATGCAGAGCTGAAAAAAATGGCACAAAATCTTTGCAGTCTATTTTTTACTTCCATATTTTGTGCATTATTTTATGCAATTATGTTAAGTTAAAATTCTAAAGCAGTTGATTGTATAGTTACTCTTACTAATTTTCCTCAAATACCCACCTCCCCACCTGTGCACATTAGTTGAAGTCAGATGGGTTGAAGGATTTGAAAAAGTAGAGATTGTGTCAAATCATGTTTTTGCAAATGGTTAAAACCAAATGTACCTGTGTATATGTGAGGGCTGTAAATTCTTGCTCTGTGGACAGGTTGAAGCAGCATTTTCTCTCTTGAGTCATTCGGAAATGCAGTGAAGTCACCTGTCTCAGATTCTGCTCTAAATTATAGTTTAAAAGCACAGGAGGCTTATTAAACAAACTGTTTTTTTTGTAGTACATTGTTGACTCATCTGTACTTTCAGATTGTACTAGGAATTACTTTACCCTTGGGCAAGGCACTTGGCCATTTACTATAGTAGTGATGCGGATACTAGATGCCAGTGAATCACCAAATGCGTCACTACCCTGAGTATAAAACAGATTAATATTATAAGATTTGGATGTGTTCCTGGAAGATGGGTTCTTTTATTTTCTTTTATAATTTTCTACAGTAGAAAGGACAACATATTCACAATCATTTCTGCAATAAAAATAAGATGCTTGAATGTTCTAAAAAAAATGAAAAAAATTACTTGTACATTGATAATCAGATCATGATCTGATTTCTGTTGTCAAAAACATCTAAAGACCAGAATCTACATTATGATACCTACAATATATAAGTTTTATGTAGTTTCAGATGTTGTTGTAAACACACACTTATAATCAGTTATCAGATTATACTGACCATGGAAATGTAGCCACTGTTGAGTTTAATGCGTTTCATAATAACTACAAATAACTGCATATTAGAACTGTAAGACTATTGTCTTACAGTTCTAAAGGGAGTATGCTATAGTTTAGATCTGTATAAGCTTGTTCTAAATATAAAGTACATGTAATTCTTGTATTGGTTTGTAAGTTCATTGGCTTTTTTTTTAACTCTTTTTCCAATTTTTCTGGACATGTTTAAATTTTGAACTTTGAACAGAATCGTATAATTAAAACAGAAATCTAATCTAAATCTAATTGCAACTGCAATGCTTGTTAGAAAAATAGCAAGCAAAAACAATAGTATGTACAACTTCTATGATTTCTATAGCCATTGTAGGGGAGGAAAAAGACTCAATACTATCTGAAACCTTGCAGGCTTATTTGTGGATGTGTGTAAATGATGTATGAAGCATGCTGCAGAATAGTTACTTACAGGCTGCAGTTTATTGTTGCTGTTGGAGCCCCTTTTAATCCTGCCTTTTCTCTCCTTGTCTTTTGCAGGCTGCTATTCGGAAGGAACTGAATGACTTCAAGAGCAATGAGATGGAAGTGCACGAGTCAAGTCGCCATTTAACCAGGTACTGTGCAGCCATGCAGCTACACACAAGAATATATGAATTTAAATTGCAAATTATAAATGTGTGAGATAGGGCAGCTGTGCATTTCTTTGCAGTGGTCTTGTATTCACTTCTTACATATAGTGGTTAGGTAACGCTTTAGTTTGCACATACTGTATATACACAGTCAAAGGTTTACATCCATAATTCACTGTTTACCTTCCTTATTATTTGCACTATTGCACTATTATTTGTAACAACAAGTATTAACATGTAACTTAACCCCTCACATGAATCATATTGTTTTCGTTTCCTAATGCTAACCTTCATGATTTGAATAGATTTTGATTGGCCACCACACCTAAATAAGAAAAAAATCTGGTTTCACACACGCGCACGCACACGCACACACACACACGCACACACAAACCAAAACTAATCTTTCACTTATTTAAAGCCACAGTATGTAACTTTTTAGCACCCAAAAAGTACACTAAAATAAGTTCTTTTTGGTTTTGTTTATTGCACTGAAAAGCATAGAGCATGTGTCCTTACTCTGAGTAAACTTGAACCTCCACAAACCTGACTCTTATTTAGCCTGGAGGAGGGCCTCCTCCTGCTTGTTTCCATGGTAATGTTGTTCCTTTGGCTATAATCTTCCACAGTATGCCACAAAATGTGTCTATCTCCATGGAGAATGTTCCAATATATGGATTTAACTTTCTATTTGCATGGAATCATGCAGGTGATGTGTTTCCTCCATACTGTACCTTTAAGATTGTTCTTTTTAGTAACTGTTGCTCAATTTCAGTGCACTATGTAACTTTTCTGGAAGGAATTCTGTCACCTGCTTGTCTCCATCGAGATGTCACTGCATATAGCAGCCAGGAATATCTATAAAAGCACTATAAGCCTTATTGAATTCACTATCTCTGTGTGTCATGCACTGTAAATAATCTGAAAATAAATCTTTGTTTCTTGTTTTTTACTTTGTGCAGGTTTCACAGACCATAGTAGACCACCACTGTCAGGAGTGGTGCCGGGTGGGCACTCTCCTTCACTGACGACCTCAAGTGCTGGACAGTAAAATGGTGCCCGTTTCTACAAAAAGGCCATGCGTTCTCAAATGCCTTTTCAAGACCCCCACACCATCACCACCAAGTCATCCACTGTAGTAGCACATAGAGACTCCAGCCAGTCCTTCACGCCATGTTACTTGGTTGGAAAATTCTCAACTTAATCCAAATGTCTATGGACCCAGTTATGTGGGGATAGACTGTCAACGGACTCCCCAGGACTTTTTAAATCTCTTCTTTGTTATGCTGTCACTTTAGTTCCATTCATATCCAAAATGGAGAGTGGATTTTTTTCATGAGATTATTCTTTCTTGCACCTGCTGGGACTTTGAAAAAAGACTTAGATAAAGGACTCAATAGAACGAATGGAAGGCGGGTCCAAAACATTGAAATCATGTGCAATATTTTTCAGTGCTTTTATTAGGCTTTAGCGCCCTCTGTAGTTCCCTATGTGCCATTACTCGCTGATATCTCTTCCCACATATGTGCAATGAACAAGACATTTCGACATCTTTAATTCCTAACTGTGAATTTGAGAGTTTGGGCACTATCTCATTCTCTCTTTATGTAAATTTTGTGTATAGTGACAAACGCTCAAGAAGTTAAATGTGCAGCTGGTAGATCTAGTCTTGACACCAGCTAATGCAAGAATAATAATTTTGTTTTATAAATGTCTTTTTATGTTTTCTTTTTCATATAGGCACTTGAAACACAAAGGTTTTAAATGTTTTCCCTTCACAAGCCCCATCTCTTTTTGGATTCATGATTTTTGAGATGAATTGTGAGAGCGGGCTCACTGCACTGTAAAACAAACCATGTGCATTGTACGATACTTTTCTTTTATACTCACATAAGCTTTTGAGCAAGCAATATTCCTAGTGTGTAGATGAGAAGGTTACATTGCAGGTTGCCCCGTCCCCATCACCACCACCACCATGTTGACTGTCTTTCTACACTATGTCTCACTTCAGGGTTTTCCTTTTTAAGAATGCTTTAATGAGAATGACTGCCTTTTTATTGTGAGTGCGGCAGAATTTAAAATGGAATATGAGCAGTTTAAAAGAGTATTAACTGTTTTGAACTATGTGGATCCAAAATCGTCTAATGGTTACATTCTTTGCACTGTTAGCATTGTGGCTGTACAATAGCCACATCTTTTCAGTCAGGACCTGTGTGTACACTGTACAGTAATTTTCTGACCACTTGTTTAAAGGTCCAACAGGAGTATTCATAACCCATTTGCTTTCTGTATGCACAACGTTTTAGTATTTTTATTGTCTTTAATGTCTCATTTTAAGAAAAGTGGTCAAAGAGCTGTTTTGTAATAATGTTAAGTCGGTTATTTATAGGAATACACAGATGACCTAAATACAATGCATTTTCAAATTACAGAAGATTTCTGCATTTTGAAGATTAACTTGTTGAAGTGTCATCTGATTTAGGAAAACTATTTTATGAGGATTTTCTTTTTCTTAAGAACCAGCTTTTGTGTGATTTGAATCACACATCGTATTTTAGACCAATACAGTGAAGTACAATAGGGGTGTATGAATGTAAACGATACTGCAGTTCTCCCTTTTCAGCTATAAGAGCACTGTACCACCAGAGCATGAGGTTACCCATCTGCTGGAATCAGAGTTCAGCAATAATCTGTTTCCTTTCACACAGTCATGGAAAAACTCGACTGAAAAAATGTTTCTTTTTTCCATTTTCAGTACACATGTAAAGATGCACCATGACAATAAAATCATTTCTGATTGCATTTGTGTTATGTGGGTCACTTCTTTTCTCTAGTCAAGTGGAAACAAGCCTACGTTATGGCCAACCTCCCTGTCAAAGCTTGATCTCATCAGATCTCAGAAGCTAAGCAGGGCTGGGCCTGGTTAGTACTGGGAGTGGCAAAACTGTTGTTTTGTCCTTAGGCAAGAGACTTCATCCACATTGCATTGTACAATTGTTTGTGTGTGTGAGAGAATTGGTGGTAGTCGGACAGGCTGATGGTGCAGATTGACAGCCTGTCTTCCATCAATCTGTCCCAATGCTGTTGCTACAATAGTACTTACTACCACCAGGAATGGAATGAATGAATAATGAGCAAAATTGTAGAAGCGACTTTGAGCCTTTGAAAAAGCACTATATAAACAGGAATGATTTTATGTAGAGATGGTTTTAACCATGATCAGTTAAAACCACGGTTTTAGCTCCCATCCAGAAGCATTCTCATTTGACCATTGTATCTTCTTTTTCCCATATTAAGAACTTTACAGAATAGATGTTCTGTAGGATTATTTGAAAATTATACTGATCAAAGGAAGGAATGGATTTCACATAAATAGGTCTATCTCGGAATCAGTCGTTAAAACAGCTTTAATCTTGAGTTTAACTGTGAATGAAAGTAATATAGCTCGTCTGTACTGTGTTCTCGTAATGATTTGGTTTGATTCGGCAGGGTTCTCTGTGTTTTGACCACTAGATGGAGCTGAGAACAAATAAATTGAATTTACGCAGAGCGTGCAGATATATTCGGCCTTGTGAAATGGCGTCCTGATGAGATGGTGCGCATTGCCTATTGCCAGACTAAAAAGTCTAAAGAGACTGGATATTCTGCACAGTAACGCAAATTATAATGCAACCACACATTTATGAATGATAAAATAATTAAAAAGTTAGAAGAGTGTAGTGGTGTTCAACAGTTGATGACTAACAATTAATGTGCGTAAAGCAAATAAATATGACAGTATCACTTCGAGGAGCTCTGGTAGTTAACCAGCGCTGTTTAGACAATATTTAGCACCTTAAGTCGGAATAGTTTTCACTAATGTTTATTCCTCGCGTCTGTGCACCGCCTCATTTGACTGGTCCAGCGAGGCGCATTCTGGGGCTTGTATTTCCTGAACCAACAGCGGCCCCAGCAGTCTTATAGAAGAGTACTATACTTCCCACAATCCCCTGCGTTGTTGTTAGCTGCCCCATCTTGTGTCCTCCTCATGAATATATATCAGTCTCTATTTGCGTAGGAGGTCGGCCGACGTTCATTTCATATTCCAGCACTGTATTTTGGTCCAAATGGGACGCTCAGTCACCGCCCTGATCTGTCCCTGCGTGCCCAACCTCTTCCTAGCCATTTTAATAGGTAAAATGTTTCTAGGAGCAGCGGAGACGATACGGACTGGGAAAAAGAAGCACGAAGTGAATGACTACTAGTAAGATAACTCAACTACACCGCCCATTTGGCGGACATTTAGCACGGTGGGCACGTATTACGGCGTTTAAATGTAGAACCTTTAGGTAACCGAGGTAGGCAGCCACCGTTTTCACTTCGAGAGGGTGACTTTTCATTGGCACAGATGGAAAGTGCACAGGCTGCTGAGGATGGCGCGTTAGATGGAGGTGCGGGCAAGTTAATGAAGAAGCCCAGTGGACTGTCTGTCGCCCGGGGGACTCCAGCGGACGACGGCGTTGGACATTTAGCACCCTCTCACGTAGATGCCAAGAACACGGGTAGTCTTCCGCACAACACTTCTACCGCGGGCTCTAGTGCGTCAAACCGGACTGTGGCGTCGAATGGCCGGGGCGCATCCAGCAACTCCAGCTCCCTCCTGTTGAGACGGAGGCGCCTAAAGAGGAACCTCTCAGCTGTCACCGCCACCAAGATGAGCTCGGCCCTGTCCTCCGCATCTCTGCACACTCGCAGTCTGGACAGAAAGAGTCTGCTCAAACACCGGCAAAACATGCAGCTCCAACCCATGGATCGCGAGTGGGTGCGTGCGGATCTTCATAGAGGCGCTATACACGTCCATGACAGACTTACACCATCATATCCCAGGCCGGTCCTTTGCACTATGGACACTACTGCCGGCGAGGTGGCGCTTCGTTTGAGTAAACTCTGCAGTAAGTCCACTTCAGTCATGCGCATTTTTTGTAAAGATAATCCCAAAACTGACCAAAATGGTAACTGCAGCGTGAAAAGTGAATATGACGAGAATCAATGTAAACTGAGTGATGAGTCAAGTTTAAAGTGCAATCCCCTTCCCCCTCTTGAATCTGCTGAACTAAGGGGGCACCCGAGTGACAGGTTGAGACTGCTGCTAATGGAGAATGCAAATGAGCGGCAAAAGCAACAGGACGTAGACGAGAAACTTTTCAGCCCAGAGTCAGAATCACAGGACAATATTACGTGCTCTTTGTCAGATCTAAATTCTAACATAGATACTCCAAATGACGAGGACTCGGAGCACAGGAACGGAGCTGACAGTTATGGGCTGAACTCTGGCTCAGATGTGGAGAGCAGTGCATTTGACGATCTGAGCTCGGGAGCACATCTCAGCGAGCACAGAGACTCCCTCAGTGATGACATGATCCTGGGCACAGAGGCGTCCATACTCAGCCCGTCCTCTGATCTGTATGGCAGCTCCTCAGATGAGCTGGAGCTGGAATGCCCTGCAACAAGCACAAGCATGGAGTCCAGTTCCCAACACCACTCCAATGGTGTTTCTGCCAACTACAAGCAGTGCAACATAGAGCATTTAAATGACATGACTAACAATATGGGAGCAGATAGCAGACACAGCCCACATAGTCTGGGCAGTCTGCCACCCAGCAGCAGTGCAGGCTCCCTGTCAACAGCCTGTTCCACAGGTACTACACCTGACATCCAAGAGCTTGACTGCACTCAAGGGGCTGGAAAATGTGAGCTGACAGCAGACCAAAGTGGAGATCCCAGTGATTCCAGCCCTACACTATATGTCCAGCTGCATGGAGAAGCTGTCAGGAGGCTGAGACCAGAGGAGAGGCCTCTGCAGATCCAGAATGACTTCCTGTTTAAGCTTGGATTTAAGGATCCCTGGAGAGTACAAGAAGAAGGGCTAAACACAGAAATTGGCTCTTTGTTGCGTTTCTATGCAGGTAAGCTGCTTTTACTTTACATCTAGTGTATACAGTATGCAGGCTTTATAGTCAGCAGCATTCAGGCCTGTTATAGTCAGGCAGTGTCTTTGGCACAAGTTATTTACCTGTAACAGAAAGTGAAAGATGCTGTCATGCAGAGGCATGCTATGTTATTGCCTTGACTAACGTGTTATTTGTGTGCCTAAAATACCAAGGAAAATGTACCTAATAGTTTGATGTCATCTTAAGGTTTGTCTGACCTTGTGTGTTGTGTGGCCTAAGCTGCTTCATGTTCAGGTTTAACTTCGGAGAGAGGTCATTCAAAGGTGCTTTGTCAGGTTGAGACTTGTACAGTATGAAGGTACAGTCCTTAAAATACCAAGCATGGTTTATTATTCTGTTTATTTCCACTAGAATTAATTGTTTTTGTTTGACCGTACCAACACAATGTGGTCCCCTGGACACTCATGACATTACCACAAAGCCATCAGCACAAGTTATGGTGCACAGACATGGGGCCCTTTCCGGCTTTTGCCCTATTCTCATCCTAATGAAAAGGCTGAATGCCTTTGTGGTTGGATGGAGAGAGGGGTGGGAGCCCTCAGAGGACTCACTCACTTATGGTCATTGAGATGCTGCACAGCGCCTGTGCTGTTGGCATCACGCTCTGCTACTGTCACACTAACTAAGTGCCTGCCAAGCTGGGTTAACATGCTTCTCTAAGGATAGGAAGACCCCTTTCTTCACAGATGATTCCTCCACTACTGCTGCTGTCCCTGCTAAGGGGAGTGGGAGGTGGGAGTCAGAAAGGAGGTGTCAGTATGAACTGTAGAAGCTGCTGCTTATTGGGTCTAAGTATGGAAGACAGGCTCCTCTCCTTCCTGTTCCCAGAGGGAACATATACATATTGAAGTTATTTAGAAATACAAAATACGTTTTTGTGAGCAACAAGTGTTGCCTGAAGTGTGTGGCGCCACTTTAAGGGCAACGCCTCCAAAGTCCCATGTGAATAGGCTTAACTGGTCACCTGAGCAAACTCCCAGCAGATCCACAGACACAGGCCTCGGTCTAGTAAGCCAGTCTAGCCTATAGTAACACAGGACAATAAGAGCAGTTTCATGCTTGTGTTAAAAGTGTGAAGAAAAGTGTAGCTTGGAGCACAGAGACATGCAGCTCTTCCGCCTCAGCCTTACATGATGAAGGCATGTGTGGAATGTACGCTGGCTCCTCCAGAATGTCAGGCATGTTGTGGAGAGGAAATGGAGCAGTGGAGGGGGTGTGGTGCACCAGGGGGATTGTTCCTGTAGAGTTTGAGTGTCTGACAGACATCTCAGCTGAGCTCTGCTGGATTCTGTGTGCAGTTGCCTATCCACTACTGTAGATCCCAGTCATACAGTGCGATTTGTGCTTGCCCTGCTTGTGCCAGCATTTGATAACCAAGCCCATCACTCTTTTATTGCTGTGGGCCTCTGCAACCACAGGCCATTTGAACACAACATGCTAACCTAGATAACACATTTTACGGCCCACTGGAAAACTTAATAGCATCACGTGAGGAACATACAAAGCACTCCACACTGATTAGATGAACAGGAAGATGTTGGGAAGAGGCTGTTGAGTGGAGGAGTGGCCATGGTGCATCTCAGCAGATTGTGCGAGTTTGAAGGGGTCAGGTCATGCACAGTCCAGATGAAAGAGACCAACCAGGACACGCACACGCAAAAAATACACACGGCTTGGATCAAAGTGCCGCTGCTGTCCACTTTGGCAGGCTGACGAGCGATCCTGTCTGCCCACACAGGAGCCTCTTGTAATGCCTACCCAGCGTTATTAGCCTGGGACAAGCAGGAAAAGAATCAAAACATGCAGGCTCCATCATTATAACTCCAGTGTGTGTGTGTGCGTGTGTGCGTGTGTGCGTGTGCGTGTGTTTGTGTGTGCGTGTGTGCGTGTGCGTGTGTGTGTGTTTGTGTGTTTGTGTGTGTGCTTTCTGCTGATGACAAACTCTCAAATTGAGCTGTAAAGGGGGATTAACAACAGGTAGACTTGATGATTTAATTGCCTGTCCAGGTAAAAGTGAAGGTTGCAGCAGGTCAGTGGCATAATGGTGCTTTTGCTCTGCAGGATAAGAGATTCTCAGTAATGAAGTTGTCCTTGCTTGGATAGGACTGCGCAGTCTGCTTGTAGGCCTGCCCCAATACCAGTGTTTGAAGTACAATATGTAGTTTCTTATTGAAGAATATTTTATTCCACTGATGTTATAAAGACATAATTATAAAATCTATAAACCCTTTTCTGAAAGAGCACACTGTACATGAGCTGCAATTAATAAATAGTAGAAAAAATACAATGTATATAAGCAAGTTCTAAGCAATTATTCAACTCAGTGAAGCTCAACAGTCCCACCCACTCGAAATCCGCCACAGTTTCAGAAGTTTTCTATTTATTTTGCCATAGACTTTTTGAAAAATTCAAATATTAAGAGTTTAAAGACATGACTGAGGTTAACCAGCTATGTGGTAAAGCGGTTGTTGCTAAAAGTCCAAAAAAACACACTACTGAGCTCCATACAGCTCCAATAAGATGCATGATAAATATTATTATTATTATTATCCTATTATGCAAAATGGACTCTTGTGAGCATTAAGCCATGTTAGAATGTTGTTAACTCATCAAAACATACCCGGAGTTGTGTTTTGTTTCATTTACACATTTGAGTATTGCTTTATTATTAGTCTGTCTACATTGTAATGTCATTAAGTGGTCATTTTCAAGTTAACATCTCCCTTTTTACCTTTACTTCTATAGAGACTGGAAATTCCAGGAATGAAATAGGTGTATGGAGTTTAAAAATGCAGCAGAGTGCTTCTTGGATTACCACATGACATCACAACGTGGACCAGAGTGTTTTCTGTTTGAGAGAAGAACACAACCTAAATTTGCAGGGTTTGTGTGTTAAACATGTGAATGAAACAAACACATCTCCAGGAAAGAGCATTATAACATAGGTCTGAAAATTGTGTAATATGACCCCTTTAAACACTAAAATGATTGTTCTTTCTGTCATTTATTGAATGATAAGTTGCTATAGTAATTATCATGACAGGCCTACAGGCTTGAGCGTGTGTGTGTGGACTTGTAAAAGGAGGAAGTGGCACAGTGAACCTTAACACTGACTGGCAAAGAGTTTCCCTGGAGGCCCTGGACTCACAATTCTTAACCAAACCAAAACAGAACACTAAATAATTCACAGCCATTGCCTTCTCGGCTTTACAAACACTCCTGTCCAGTCTTGGGTGCACTTACTCACTCCTGATTAGCATTCGAAAGGGCTAAGTAAGGGTTAAATTGCTATATAGTCAAGAGATGTCTGAGTAATCCCTCAGTCGTCCACACAGGTTCCATCTCAAATGAAAATTATATTCCGTTAAAGCAGATCTGTGGAGAGGCATCCCTGCTTTTTTCTGTCTTTTTCAGCACCAATACTTTACTGAATATGAGACAATGCCAAAGTAGTAACATATGTACAAGGTGTATACGGTGGTGCTGGCAGACCCCCAACCAGAAAAATGACATAGTGCGGCTTTAATTTTCTCATTACTGTACCATGATAATCTTAATTTTTTTTCTTGTAACTGGACTGATTGACTGGCTCATCCAGGTATTAATTTCTTTCAGCTCAACCGGGTTATTGCTTCCTTTGAAAGCTGAGTCTAGATCAATATCAGTTTCAGCATGCTGCACCCATTTTCAGGTGATTCCCAGGTTGGTTAGAGCTTTGAGTTTCCAGTAAGGTGGAAAAAATTGAAATAGATTTTAACAGTAGCAGGAACAAAAAGCAAAAACAAATTAAACACCCTGACTAGTGTTATAAATGCTTTGTTTATCTATCCCACTTCCGTCTATTACTCTTAACCCTTGTTACTTCCTTATGACATTTGCCATCTCGTGCTTTGTGCTAATTTGTTGTGTGTCTAATTCTGTGAAAATGTTCAACCCTTTTTCATTCTGCCAAAGAAGTTGTTTTGGCAACTGATATTTTCTTAGTAGCTTTGTTAACAAGAATATATTCTTCAATTTGTGATTTAATTTCAGCATCTGGTTGGTTCTAGTGGAAAAGCATGGAAAATCAAGATGGTTTTGAAATGGCATTAAACTTATACTGTGTGTGAACGGGGTCACCTCTCCACAGATCTAACATGTAACCTGGCCTGGTGGCTTCACCTGCTTGTGTACATGGAGATTAATCTCACACTGTGGAATGTTACTGGCAAAGTAATATCTCTATTGAGACAGACAGATGGCAGAACACACACCAGAAATGTTATGTTAATATATTGTTAGACGGTTATATTTTATATTTATTTAGTTTTTTAAAGGTCCTATATTATGCAAAATTGACTGTTGTGAGGTATAAGCCATGTTATAATGTTGTTACCTTCTCAAAAACATACCTGGAGTTGTGTTTTGTTTCTTTCACATATGTTTGAGTAACCCTATATTATTAATCTTTTTACATCTTCAAAGCTCATAATGCTCTGGTCCACCTTGTTCCACCTTGTGATGTCATGTAGTTGTAGTTAGAAGCTCCTTTTACCTTTAGTTCAGTAGATTGGCAATTCCAGAGCTGAAATCATCCAAATGATTCTAGTAAGGTATATGGAGTTTAAAAACAAAGTGGAGCACTTCCTACATTACCACATGACTAGTGAAGTCATGATTTGATTTGGCTTTCGATTTTCGATTGTGTTCGATTTTGATCAGTTAACATTACTTATTATCTTGAAACACAAAACATTCTATTAACAATTACAAAATAGTAATTGTTACTAATGTTCAGAACTTTGTTTAGTGTGAACAATAACATTTAGTGTACCGTAGATATGTGAGATAAATTACTTATAATAAAAATAAATAAATAACTCTCTAAGTTAAATAAAAAATAGGTCACCCATTCTTATAATTAAACTTAAGTGGCCACTATGAATAAATATGTGGCTTAATGATGAGGAGTATGT